AAAGGTGGTTTTTGTGAAGGGGGTAAATCAACTGTTGCTTTAGTTTCTAGTGCAGGAATTGCAGGCAACTGGATAATTTCACTGTAAATTGAATTGTAAAGTTAAAAGTTGGTCAGCATAAATATTGAATTCCAGTTATGTGTACAAATTTCTTTAATCCTGTAGGAAGTGTTCAGGAACGGGAAATTCCTAGAAAATAATTACAATATGCATAGAACTTCAAAAAAAAATCCTTGTATCATTTCTGCTTACGAAAAAAATTAATTATAATTGAATTTAGAGTGTTGCTTTTTTCTACTACTTTTATTCTACATTGGACATTTAAAATGGATATTACTCAGTGTAGTGCACAATTATTTAATGATACAACAAGCAAACTACAATTACTCTCCTAAATATTTTCCTATGTGCAGTAGTATCTGGTTTTAGCTGCAAGGTAGATCATAGTCTGGAAGTTGGGGAAAATAAAAGGAGAAAAATGGAAACTTGCACATTTAGGACAAACTTAAAATAATATGGAGGGAAGATGAATCTCCAGGGATCTGCTAGGAAATGAAAGTTAAAGTCATCTGGTTCCTTGTGCTCTGGAGATGTTGATTTATATCACAGCCAGTGAGGTTGACAAGTGCAAACTTTTGCAATAGCAAAAGATTTCCTGAAAGGTCAGTGTGTTCTCTTTATTGTGAAATGGAAGGCAAGAACAGTTAAAATAAAACCAGAGAGAGAGAAAAAGGACTTTTCCATGCTGCAGATGTAGGAGAGGTACATAGAAGCCAGGTAGTCCCTGACCCCTGAGGTGCCTGTTCCTAGAGAGCCTCCAGCACATGGCTTTGCCCTAGATATTGTTGGAATGTCTTTGAGAAGGAGGTCCTGAGCCTGGTTTTATGGGCAGGCACCACACTGCAATGGATTAGATAATTCCTTCTCCAAGACCAAGGGGAGAGGAAGGAAGAGCCTGGGAGTGGAGACTGGGATCACTTGCAGTTCCTGTGGGACAGAGGACACCTCAGCCCAGGGTGTCTCACAGCTTGTCCAGCACTGTCCTTTTCTTTTGCATTATGTCACATCAAGTTTCAAGTTCAGAGTCTGCTGGAAGATGTCCCCACGAGTCAGGAAATACCCGTGTGTGCCCAGAAAGAGCAATGAAACCATCTGCTGCTCGAGCTCCAGCTGGTGTCGTAAAGGCATCTTTGAACATTTAGCCTGCTGGTGTTTCACAGGCAAACAGAAAGTCCTGCAGGATTCAGTTTTTGGTTGCCTGGGGATGTGCTTCCGTGATTTATTCTGTGTCTGAGCTGCAGATAAACACATTCAGGCTTCTGTATGGAAAAATAGCTGGTTCTCTCCTGGCATTTCTTCAAAAGCTCTGTATTGAAACTCTGTTCCCAGAGGCTGTTTCATATTCCCTCTGCCACTGGAACAGCACTGCACCCTCTGCTCCCACTGCAAAGACTTGGGGTGCCTGGAATCAATGAGCTGTAATCAGTGTGGGCAAGCAAGGAAGTGTGGGGCTTTTATCATCTTCTGTGGCCACCAGCCTGTGGTCCTGTTGTTTGGCTTCTCTCAGCAAAGCAAGAAACTGGGGGGAAAAGGGAGGAATTTTCTCACGTGCAAGCAGACATGTCTGCAAAATCCCAAGACAGCCTCATTTCAGATTTCTCCATACTGGTGCATTCCCCAGCTCCTGATGTTCAGGTGCTTTTATAAAGACAATTTCCTCTCCAGCTCTCACTGTACCTGAAGTCCCTAGTCCTGAGTAAATACAAGCAGAATTCAGGTGTTGAGGAGGGATCCCCAGTACTCAGTGTTGGGCTGTGGATAGTGGGGTTTCTGTTTTGAGTATCTATGGACCACCCAGTTCCCTGAGAGCACGCACTAAACCTCCCTCAAAGCCTGTCTGGGCTCGTTTTGGCCTAGGGAATACTTGTATATAGTAGTGGCTTCCTTTGTTTTTGTTTTGATGGTGATTATTATTTTTCCTGAATTGGGGCTACTGAAATAAATATTTAATTTCTGATGTTTTATTTTGTACATAATCAAGTATATCTGAAACAGCACCTTAAACCTCAGTGTTACTCTCTCATTACTTTTTTTAATAGAGAAAAGCAGACATTTTCAATACTTGGCAAAGCCACAGGGCTGAGAAGAGAGCTGGCTGGGAAATTGGAAAAATGCTCAAATCTTTTTTTGAAAAAATGCCAATGTCTATAATGCATTTTCAGTGAATGACTCAATTGGTTCTATTAAAGGAAAATATATAATGTTAATTCAGCCTAATATGGCTTATTCAACAGACAGCTTGAACCTCTTCCTATTTTGCTTTCTTACTGCTAATTATTGAATGGGATGTTTAATTATTCATTTCCAGTAGTGGATACCAGTATAAATCAGGAGCAGTTCCTTTGAATTTGATGGTGATTTGTTTGAAATTAAGAAGGGTTAGACTCTTCTTAAGGAGGAAAGGGGGAGGTGTAAGTCAGTCAGAAGGAGACAGAATTTGATTTTGTATCTGAAATAGGTCATTCCTTCATTTGTGTGGACTTGGGCACATTTGCATTGGTCCTTCTATGTGTGTTCAACCTCAATCTCTAGATTTGGCTTTAATAAAATGTAGGAATGTGTGGTGCAAATTTAATCTGCTTTGTCTGGAGAGAAAAGAATAATAGCATGGTATTTATTGACTTTACAGTCATAAAGTGGTATTTATTGACTTTGCAGTTCTTTTAAGACTAAAAAAAGAATAAATTCTGTGGTTAAGTTTAGATGCTAAGGTTAGATACCACACAGACTTGCTGAGAACAGGGAGTGTCTTCTGTTGAAAGAATCAGAACCATGACCATGTCCATGCAACAGTTAAAATCCAACATCCTTGTGTTACTTTGGAAAGCAAAAACCCCATTGTTTTGAAGTTTTGCTTACAAATCCTTTTTCAGATTGAAAACTGCTTCTTTTTTCCTCACTGCCTCTCATTTAATATGGATTTATTGTATGTAAAAGGAAGAAGATGGATACACAGGTGTGTGTGGAGCAGAGGTGCAGGGAACACTGGGATCTTAAGATGTGTGTACATAAAGAAGTGTGGTGGGGTCTTGGGTGAATATCTGTATAATGCAGTCAGGGAGTAAGAGCTACAAAATGTACATTCTCTCTAAGGAAAATAGCCTGCAAAATTCCCTGGAGGTGGGAGGGACCTCCAGTGGGACACGCACTGAGGTCACCCTGAGACCTGACTCCGGTAGAGCTCAACATCTCCTTCACCTCTCCTGGGAAACTCCTGCTCATTTTTCCCCTCTCAGAACTTCTCTGTTCCTTCCCTGTCTCTGTCAGCAAGAGCTGTTGACTGGGGAAGGTCATGGCATCCTCTCCACTGGAGGATTTTGAGGGCACGTTGGATTAGGACCTCTCAGATGATAATTGAGCCTAACTTGGCGCAGCCGGCAGGGACTAGCACAAGTATGGAGGAGGACAAAGCCTGAGGAAGAAAAATGTGCTGCAGCAAGTAGCTGCCAGGTCTGGGGGAGTGCAGGGTTGCCTGTGTGGTGTGGAGAGCAGGAGGTGCTGGCAGGAGCCCCTCGGGTGACGGGCAGGGGACGCAGCCAGAGCAGGGAGGAGCCAGCCAAGGACTGCAGTAACACATTCCATGATCTCAGTGAGAGAGGAAACAAGGACGTGGGTCATTAGTCAAAGCAGCACGTCAGGTCAAGGGCAGGAGAGGCTTGGTTTTAATTTATTTTAAAAAATAAATAATAAGAAGGCAAAACCAGTGCATTTCATTACATAGGAGAAAGGAGAACATTGAAGGGATGGGAATACAGCAAGGGACTGCAAAAATAGAGTAGGATCATGGAGGAGGTTTGAACATAGGTCAGAGGCTAAAAGTAAATAGTAAAAATTTGCTATTTGAAAGGGAGGAAAGGAAATTATTTCAGGAGATAAAAGGAAAGCCAGAGAGAGGGTAGGAGAAATATTTGTCATAAAAAATCAGGCTAAGTCATCCATTTCAGTAGCTTTCTTTTAGCTGCAACTTAACATGTGAGATCCTCTGTGTTGAGACAGGTCAGGAGGGGAAGTAACTTCTGGGTTTTGTGGTGTGGGACAGGTGAGATTTGCATGCATTTGACAGTAAGTCAAGGCATTTGGCTCAAAGAAATGGCAGAGAGACTAAAGGGACTTCCAGATCTGCTAGCTGCAGACAAAAGTGATGGAAAGTGAATGTTGGATGAGCCAAGGATTGTGGATATTGCAGCAGACTTCTGAGTCAAAATGTTGGACAACATAACCCAAGTGAGAAAGATGAAAGCACAGGCAGAGGGAGGAGGAGGAGGCTGAGAACAGATCAGTCATCCTTGCTGAAAGACCTGGAGTCATGGAAAGGGTGAAGGACGGGGTGAGGTGATAAGGGCTGATGTTGAAATAAACCGTGTGATGTGTCTTAGTGTTAAAATGGGCGTTTCTATCATCATGATTTCAGTTAATGCAAGCCCAAAGTGCTTCTGGTTCTCACCATGACCTGGGCACTTCCAAAGCCCTCTATTCCACATCACCAGAGCATTTTGCTGTCTCTGAGCTAATTATCTGTACAGCAGTATGGGTGGTAAGGAATTTCTATTTTGTAGGTAGTGAACTGAGGCATAAAGCAGAAGAGTATTTTCTTGCAGTCCCGCTACAAGTGGAGGTAGGACTTGAAGCCAAGGTTAGCCAGTCCTCTACTAGTAGCTTAAACACTGACTCATCCTCCCTCTGATCTCCTTCCTTGAGCAGGAGCCACCTTCAAATCAAACTTTCCATGGAGAAATAAAGGGTTTTGGCATATTCTAATGGTTTGTTTAGTGATGCAGAAAGGATAAAATCGTATGTTACTTTTGACATTTTTATTATTGGGAAAAGATTAAGCTATAACTCTCTATCTGTTGGTTGATGCAGAGGGATATTGGAGAAGAGACTAACAGGGGTGCTGGTGAGAATGGCCTTTCCCTGATGTGTTGTGATGTGTTTTCCAGATAAACCGTGGGAGCTGGTGTCCGCTGGAGCCATGTCCTGACCCCTCCCTGCTGGAGCGCAAGCGCACGCGGGACTCTCCAGGTGAGCCAGACCAGCAGCCCTCCTCCTCCAACCTTTTCTCCCTGTCCTCCTCACCTTTTCTATCCCTCCTTTTCTCCCTGTTTTTGACATCCTGGCCTGGATGGGGAAAACACATAAATTAAAGAAACTGTGTAATGACTGTGCTGTGACTCATTGTTAGCACATGGCTGTAGCACTTGACTAGCAGGGAGCTGTGTAGTGTGTCACCATCTCAAATAACTCTGCATTTCAAGTGCTTCAGTATTTTGATATTCCCCCCCCCTTTTTTTTTCTAAATAAGCTTGAAAGATGTTGCGAGGAGCACACAGACATGGTTTCTAGCTAAAAGGATAATACGATAAAAGAAAAAAGCCAGAAATTTGAACTCCTAAATCCATATTTCAACCCAAATGAGTGGCTTGAGATTTTTACTTTTTTTCCCCCCTCTGAAAGTTGCCATGATTTCAGGCTCAGGAAGCAGGAAGGCTGTTCAGAGCCATGGTTCCCACACCCTGCCCACCAGCTGTGCCAAGCTCCCATCCCAGCCCTGCGTGCTGGCTGGTGCTTTCTGGCTCTTCCACTGGGACAGAAAATCTAGTCTGGGCAAGCTTCAAAGAAGGGTTGGTGTCCAAGATAAGAAAAAAAGCATTTCCTTTCACTGGATTATGCGTGTTCAAAACAAATAGAGTAATTTATCAGGGCCCTGAATAGGGACTTTGCTTAGGCTGCTCATGGAGAGGAGGCTTCTTGCCCTGCTGTCCTTATGAGCAGTGGTCTTACCCAAATCTCTTTCAATTTATCTGAGACTTGAAAGAAAATTACTGAGTGTCAGGATGAATTTTAAACTCAGTCTTTCAGACTGTAGGCTAAGAAGGGGTAGTATGGGTTAGTGACTTGAAGGATTTATCCTAAATAGGAGTTCTAGCTCACTCAAAGTTAAGTAAGTGCTTTTTTATTAAAAAAACCCAAACAAAAATACTGCCCTTTTTAGAAGAGTCATTAACAGCAACAGCTGTTTCAAGAGGGTTTTTACAAGAGAACCTATGGTAATGCTATGTCTCTTCTTTACCTATTGTATCTGTGAATCCTTTGCCTCTTGGTACAGTATTTTTATGCTTCAGGCAATAGTTACTGCAAACCATTTGTCTGCTAAACTACATGGACTCATTTGACTTGCCAAATATATAATCACGTCTTCCTATGGATCACTATCAGTTGCACACCTATTAATTATCTAATGCAATATTACACTATAGAAACATAATATTCACTATGTAATGAGGTAGCTGTACGTACAAATTTGTATTAATAATTATAGTAATACATGTCTGTAACACACACATAAGGAGATAGGTTTTTAAGTAAATGTGCTCTCCAGATGGACTGAAGCAGCAGAAGGATCTCAGGTTATGCATGTTCTGACTTTTCTAGAAATAATAATGGTTACTGCACAGGCATCCTCCTGCTGCTCTGTGGTGCAGGGCAGCATAAAGAGGGTAAGAAAAATCTGGCAACACTTAAGAGCAATAAAACCACAAGCTGTCAATGTGGCTGACTTAAAAATACAGTACTTGATAAGGAATTAGGCCTTTTTCATCTGCTGAAATGACTTGCAAGGACAGAGACCTCAGATCTTAGAAGGTAACTCCAGGAATTGGAGCTTCTCATTTTCTGTCACTGCTTTTGAAATTAGGTGTGCAGAGGAGTGTAGCAGATACATAGTTATCAGCATGGAATTGAAGGGCTCAGCCCTGGCTTGGAAGACACAAGAGTTTGGAAAATGTACAGAAGAAATTGCTTGGAAATGTTCTTCCTAGAGCTTTTTTCTCTGTATTTTTTTTGCCTTTATATCATGCACAGAAGTGTTGCCAGGGGTGTGAGACACAGAGCCTGGCTTTGTGCAGCGTCTGTGCAATTCAAAACAAACCCAGCGAACTGAGAAAAGGGGAGGGAGAAAATGGAGAAAATATGCACACCTCCAACCAAAAGTAAAGGAGAGTGTAGGGAAGAGAGGGCTTGGGAGTGTGTTTCTCAGCACAAATGAGCTGAGGTGTGTGGAGGGGTCCCCATCACCCTTCTCCTCATGCTTCTTCCTCTCCTCTGCCCCTGTCAGGCTTCTCCTGAGGAGGCTTTGCTGCCTCTCATGCTTTATCCTCAGGGTGAAGTATCCATCCACATCTGAGCTGTCCCCGCTGATTTTCCAGTGGAACGTGGCTGGAGCCCCTTTGTTTTTCAGTCTGGGCTGTGGACATGCTGTGCTGGCTGCCAGCTGGATGAACAGCACCTGGCCCACGTCCCCACAGCCACTCCGTCTCTTCTTTCCCTTCATTCCCCCCTTCTTCCCTCCCCTCCCTTCTCCCCCTCGGTGATGGAAAAGCAGTTCAGATTTTCCAGGTTTATTGAAAGGGGAACAGGAGCAGCTGCAGCATCCAATAAGTGCTTTTCCAATTCTCCACTGCATGGAAATTCCTCTGTAGGATAATGGGGTTTCCGACTGGCTTCAACTCCCCCTGCCCTAAATGGGGTCAGCCTCGCCACTATCAAAGTAATTCTATTTTCTCCAGAAATGGAGTCACTTCCATCGGTTGGGATGTGGCCAGGGTGTTCCATAGCTGCTGTCAGGCACAGATTAAGGATGGGGAAGGCAAAGAGGTGACCTTAAGCTACCAAACCTGTCATTCTTTCAGTGATTTTTAAGCTTGATGTCACCAAGGATGGAGTCAGTGAGATATAATTTAAGAGTGAACTAATATTTTATTGTCCTGGCTCTTCTCCAGACAGCTGAACACATTTTGGATCTGTTTAGTTAGAGGAGGTGCAAAATAGCACCTTTCTTTAAACAAACAAACAAACTAATAATTAGAAAATACTTTGAGCTGGGAAATTTGAGTGTTCAATTTTTGCCAAAATTGTAATTTATGCTTTTGCCTGAAGGATGATCAAATAAAATATATACAGGCATTTCTTAGGCAAATACTTGTCTGTTAAAGGTTTTGGAAAGAGGGCTTTTGCAGGGGCTGCAGTCTGGTTCTGTACTTCTGATTAACCCAGTGCAAACAGCTGGAAGCATTTGAAAAAAAAAAAAGCAGCTTGCTTATATTTAATGTCAGGAGTTACAAAAGCTGAAGGTTTTTTAAAAAAAATCACTTAATTTTTGAATCTTGAAAAAGTAAAGCTTGTAATGGAATTCACACTAGTGCTTTTTTAGTAAGTAGTGTAGAAGAGATTAAATAATTGTCTAAATACACACTAAAAGCACCTTGGCATTTAGAGGGAATTGATTCTTTGAGAAAGAAAGCAAATATTGGCAAGTTATATTTTTATATTTATTGAAGATTAATCTAATTTTGCATTTGTTGAAATCAATAGGAAACATCCCATGTGCACTGTTATGGGATACTTCATCTATAGTATATTTATCAGCACCTCAAGCTACAAGTGTTTACAGCTGTTTCATGCACAATTTCAGTTTGCACCATGTTCTTCAATGATGCACTTAAAAAGGAGTTTTAAACTCTGGAATAAATCATTTGAGAATTCACAGGCAGTTTTGAGAGGTGAACAAATGTATAAAGCTTTATTTGTAAAGCTGTGTGTTTTAAATCCTGGAGTTCATAGAGAATGCGAGTCTGATGTGTGGATGCTGCAGAAAGCCTCAGGTTGTGACTCTTTGTGCTCTGCTCCTGCAGAATGTGAGAACTTCTTGGAGGATGGGCTGAGCAGCGTCTGTGCCTCGTCACAGGGTGGCCTTAAAAGAGAGTCTGGGAGTGAGTCTGACCTCTTCCCCTTGCCTGGTGATGGGATGGAAGACCTTGTCTTTGGGAAGGTAAGAAAGCCTGGCTGGGATATGGTTAAAAAAGCTCCTGATAAACCCATACAGCACACACAGATCATCTTGGTTTCTCTGGTGAGTTGGAAGCCTGGAAGTGATTATCCTGGAACCAAGTAGATGGGAAGGATCCGGTCTCCTCCTTGGATGAAGCGACATGAGGGATGTATTTACTTGCAGCAGAATTCCAAAAGCTGTGCAGCCCCCAGTGGTTAAAAAAATGGAAGTAATTTTGTCTGTCCAAAAGTAAATCAGGCACCAGAGGAAGAGTTGAAAAGGTGGATTTTCTTGCAAGGTCATTAGGGATTGCACAGACGATATGATATCCAACTTTAACTCATGTAACAAAGAGCTTTTCTCCAGTAAACTGTGACCTCTGTGCTGATACCTTCAGATTTATATGCTGTAATTCTCAGAGGAACCAGTGTTTTTCTGTAAATTCAGTGTCATAGGAAGGAAACACTCATTCTAAATACTTCAGGCCAATTCCAGGGAATAGTTTTGTTGCCTAGGCGACATACCTCTAATGCCTGTTTACGTGCAAGCAGAATGAAAGTGTTTTCAAGTTTGCTTAAAATCAACAGCTGAAGTCATTGCTAACCTTAGTCATCCCTGTACCCTTTGTGTTGCTGAGGAGGAGTGGGAGAGACCTGAGAGGCAGAGCTGGCCTCTGAGCAGAGGATGTGCCTCCCTTTGGCATCAGTCTTTTGAATCTACGTCAGAGCAGCCTGAATTTATTCAAGGGGACATTAGGTTTTGGCTCTTGAAGAATTGTCTTGCTTGTAATTTGTACTCTTCTTGGCATAAGCAGATGATGAAAAAGCACCCAGAAAGAATAAAGTGATGTAGAATCAAAAGGGATATGACCCTTCTTTAGAGCAACCGTCACTGTGGTCTCCATGAAATCCCACTCTTTGGTTCAGCTGCAGCTCACAGGTTTGGGCAGACACAGCTCCTGCTCTGAAAAACATAACTCTCAGTGTAGCTTTCACACTGGCTTTCCGAGAAATGTATTGATTGAAACAGAGTTCTGTTTGCTGAAATCAAATCAGACGGTGGTGAATATTTTCCAGCAGGATGGGAAACACCACAGCCCAGGCTAAGTGATCTCATGTGCTATAAATGAACAGTAAAGTCATCCTTCATGCACGTGGTAGGGCACAGAGCTCACCAGCCTCGCCCTTTCCCATCCTTCTGTCAAGAGGATCTGGGGCCCTGGACTGTCAGAGAACAAGGCTGTTTGGCAGAGCAGGCTGTCTTCAGTTCCCTTGTGCAGAGTGACATGGACCGTGACAGGCAGCTGCCATTTGAGCCTCATGTAATGCTTCTGTGGGAAAGTGTGGGAGAAGAGTGCAGTGGGAACACAGCAAATTTTATGTTATAAAGAATTTTAGCTTTTCCCCTTTCTTATGTGAAAAGTTTCCTTCTTCAAATAGGAGAAAGAAAGATAAACGTGTAACTGGAGTAGGAAGTGCAGTGTAGCAGGGATGCCATTGGGGAGGGAGGAGGTGGTGGGGAAAGCAGGTCTTCAGTTGCCAGTGGAGAGAGGGCAGAGGCAGGAATTCTTTTCTTTGTAGAAAGGGAATTCCTTAATTTAGTAGCCTTTGCATTGTTCTCATTATGCAGTGAGTTGCAGACTTTGTCTTCAAATGGCTTCAAAACGTTCCTGAGCTGAGTTTAGGAAGTTATTCAAAGCTAATCTCAACCTCAGTTGCTTTGTCTTTGTTTTCCTGACCAATTTGATTCCTTGTGTCCTTCCTCTGGATTTTTCTGAGTATTTTTTCTACACTTAAAGTTATTTCTAAAGGACCAGAAAAACTAATTTAGTATTGCGAGCTTGTTCCTTAATTAAATCTTTTTTGGTTTTACATTACTGAATACAGGTGGTAGAAATGCAAATTATGGATATTTTTAATGACCACCAAAATAAATGGTGGCTGTGATCTTTTGTCCAAAAAATAGTGTAAGATGCTTGTCTTGGCTGTAGTTGATTATTTATAAACCTATGAAATCTTACAGTTTCTGTATCAAATTGGGAAGAGACAGAATATGTTTATGTACAAAAAGAGGATCTCAAACCTTTCAGTGTCATGGTGATTATTGTTATTACTAGTTCTTTCTTGTTTCCCCTTTCTGTGGAGCAGCAATTGAGCTTTTGTCTACTAGAGTAATTTTTTTTTTTCTTTTTTTTCGTAGAAATAACTCCTTCTTTATTAACTGCTTAATGCATTAAAATCAATGTAGGGAGAGCAAGTTGCTGTCTGTGCAAGGTATTTGGGCTGCTTCCACTTGGAATGCATTGACTGAAAGCCCTGGTTCTGTCCCAAAACCATGAAGAACTGGGGTCTGTGGGGTCACAGAATCTGCAGGTGCCTTACCCTGTCCCTGGTGTTTGCTGTGTGCTCCTCTCCCATCTCCTTCCCTTCTCCTGTGCTTGTTTCATTTATTTTTCTCTCTAGGACATGTGCTGAGCTGTGGAACATGAGCTGTCAGGTTCAGAAAGCTTTAACACTAAAACCTGCCCTTTTTCAGATTATACAGGCTATCACTGAGATTCAGAAGTTGCTTCCAAGTCTGTGCTTCCAGCAAAATGTTTAATCTTTTTTTTTTTTTTTTTTTTTTGCGTCAGCACTTCATTCCCATGTCCTCATCATCCTGCTTTTCCCTCTCTGTCCCAGACAGCCATCTGGGCAGGCTTTGCAGCATCCTCCTTCTGGAATGATGAATGCTGCATAAGGTCATTTCTCACAATCATCTGGCAACATCCTGGGGTGGAGCCCATGTGCTTTGCTCATCTTAACTTTCAACCAGCCACCCAAGTCCAGCATTACTGGGAAGATTTTTAATGTGCCTCTTGGGAAATGATTCAGATGAAGGGAGTCAAGAACCCACAGATCGTTGTCAAAGGAAGGAGTTGCAACTCAAAGTCTTAAATATTGTTTAATTTCTGCCTTTGTTTTGTTTGCTCAAAGAAAATACAAAAATACATAAATATTTTGCATTTATTTTTCAGAACTGTTGTATCTCTTTAAAAAAAGCAAACAGAAAAACCCGCAACAGCTGTGCAAAAAAAAACAACAAACCCAAAGGAATAAAAATTTTAAGGAAAGGCTTTCGCATCCACTCCAAATCATAAAAGTTATGATAAATAATTAGTAGAAGGACACTGTTGATATTAGTTTTGGGGGAACCTAGAACCATAGACAAATCCAAATTTAAAAATTACTCTGCTTGATTATATATCAAGCTAACTAAAGGTATTGACTCCTTTAGTGGAATGGTATTCCAAATAAAATTCAGGATTCCAAGGTTTAATTTTTTCATATTTTTTAAAATACTCTTAACACCTTTAATGTCTTTGAAGGTCAGGGGACAAAGAAAGTTTGTGTATCACCACTTTGCAGGTTGTCATCATGGAAATGATTGAAAGAACATTTGAATTCCCCTTATCAAGACCTCCTACAGTGGAGGGATTTAGTTGAAGGAGTTATCTTATATGCTCACCATCCCAGTGATTTCTGTTAGTCATGGAGAAGTACATGTGTCCTTTCTCAGAATACTCACTTCTACACCTTATCTTACTTTTTCTTAGAAGCTTCTCAGCAAATACTGAGGGCAAAGAAAATACCTATTAGCAAACATCTGTAAAGGCTCTTTTTGGCCGCAGTTAAGTCCCAAATTCATTGAGGTGCAACCCAGCATGCCTAACTTGAAGAAAATTAGTATTTCTGTAATGTTTCCTTTTTCCTGTAAGAAAAGAACACATTCTGTTCTGCAAGGATGGTATTTGCTTACTCAAATGGGATTAAAGAGCAGTGCATTTTTGCAGTGGTGACTACAATGTAGATGTTTTAGATGTGTCAGCCACACTGGGCATTTTTCAGACAGAGTCGTCTTTCATATTAACTGCTTTCCTTTGTTTAAAAAAAAAAAAATCATTGAAATGACGGCAGAATATTTTTAGAAGAATAAGCATGGGCCACGAGTTCAGGGGAATTGTTCATTGTGTTCTGTTGTCAGTCGAATGCTCAAGGTAAAAGTTAAAATGGATCAAATGTATTTTCCTTTTTTCAACCATCTCCTTGAACTGCATTTTGTGATAAAAGCCCTAAATCTTCCTTGTTAGGGAAGTGGGTTTTGTTGTGCATTTCAAACTGCAGCAGTATTCTCATCTGGGAAATAAAAATTCCTCTTTTTACTCTAGTCCCTCTCTATTTAATTTGGTGTTCTGCACTGTTGTTTCTAGATTTGCATCCAGATTGAAAGTTTCCAAACTCTCCCATACTTCACACAGCTGATGGGGTGAAGTTAGTCCTCTCCTGTCCTGCTCTGCTGCCCCAGTCCCAGAATCCCAGAATGGTTTTGGTTGGAAGGGACCTTAAGCTCATCTTGTTCCAATCCCCTTTCCACTAGAGCAGGTTGCTCAGAGCCCCATCCAGTCTGATCTAATGTCTGAAAGTATTTTTCTGTCTTAGAAAAGTGGCAGATTGTTTCCTCCCTGTAGGAGTGTTATCCATGTAATGACTGCTTGATTTGTCTGCATTTAAGCAATTCACTAAGCTCTCATCATGACTCACACAAATATCAGATTATCTTGAATACTGCTGAACATCATAAAAAGCGTCACAGGGCTTCCATTTCAGCTCTCTGTTGTTTAAACCTCAGGTTCCTATTCAAATGTATCAAATCCAATAGTTCACTAGTTTACAGAGCAGTTTGCTGAAATTAACTATTAATATTTGACATACCTTAACATGAAGTGAATATTTTGGAGGGATGTATTTATACTGTGGTTTTTAATGCTTTGTGTTTAAAGTGTTCTGGTATTTTGGTGTTGTGCTGTGGATGCTGCCTTTTTTTTTTTCCCCTCTATTTCCCTTTGATGGATGTGAGAGTGGAAGCAGTGTGACAGTATTTAGTTAAACCATCTCAGGAACATTATTGTGTACCTGTTAAACTGACCTAAGAATAAAAAATAGCTAAGCTTTAAACAGAGCTTCTCTTTGAATAGTGAAATATTCAATTAGAAGATACTTTGAATATCTCAGTTTCTTAAAAAGCTTATAGTGTGTGCCCCTCAAATAAAGCACAGAAAAACAAAAGTCTCTGGACTATTTAACACCACTCCTGCTTATCCTTCCCTCCATGTGGTCTGATGCCCATCTTTTCCTTCCAAGAACAGGATTTTGCATCCAGTTGTCTTCTGCCAAATGCTTGCTGACAGCCTGCAGCCCCTGGAGCACTCAGCGATTGCCAGGCCCCCTGAGCCCACTGTGTGAGGACAGTAACCACCAGGGCTTTGCTGACTGCTCTGTGCTGTATGGCCTGACAGAGCACTCTGCCTGTTATTATTTTAAATGATGCAGGGCTCTGCAGCAGGATAAATTGAAGCTTCCCATGTCCCTCAGGGCAAACACCATTTCAGACTGGAGGTGATGTCAGAGGGGTGCTTGTGTTTTTTATAGTAGCCACAGGGAACGAGGGCTCTTCTGGGGCTGTATGGTCAGCATGTAGCCTTTGGCCAGAGAGAGCCAGTTTGGCTTTTACATACTGCTTTTGGAGCAAACTAAACCCAAAAATTACAGTATGACTCAAAATCTCTAACACAGGGTGGCTGTTCCTGTTGAACAATATTTTTTGATGACAGTTGGATTTGAAAAATGCTGCAAACCCTGATATTAACTTTCTGCTTAATGGAATGGGAATTAAGCTTATATTTTTTCTGTCTGTTTTCTGCTGCTGAGTAATTCTCCTTTTTGTGTTGCCTGGTGCAGTGGAGCAGAGTGTTGCCCTTGAGCTCTACAAGCCCATCCCAGTCCCACAGGAGAGGCTGGGGTTTGTCATCAGGAGTTGTGATAAACCCCTTCCCCATTACTTGCTCTCAGTAAACCTTTGGCAGTTTTATGGCACCTTGATTGATAACAGGTTTAGCCAGAAATGGTGAGAGGAACAGGATTTGCTGTGCAGGATGAAGTACGGAATTGGGGAGAGGAAGGCAGGCAGAGGATCTGAGCTGGGTAATGGCAGCCAGGGACTTGTGGGGGTGGAAGAGATCACCCTGCAGAGCATTTCAGCCTCTTTTGAAACCAGAGCAAAAATTCTCAGTTCTATGATGGTTATTTTGCCTTATGCCATCAACTAGGAAATCTCTCAGCTTGTGTGAAATACAAAATATTTTCATTTATCTAAAATGTTATGTGTATTCACTTCATTGGAAGTGTTCAGGGCCAAGCTGGATGGCTCTTTGAACAGCCTGATGTAGTGAACAATGCCCGCAGCAGGGGTGTTGGACTAGCTGATCTTTAGAAGTCCCTTCCAACCCAAACCAGTGTATGATTCTACTTTAACTTACTTTCAATTTTCCTCACCCCCAGCAGCCTGAAGAGGAGCAGTCTGCATGCGATGTCACCAGCTCCAGCTCCTCTGCAGACGACACCATGTCCCTGGAGAGGAACTCATCCCTGGGCAGCGACACGTCCCTCCCCTTCCCACCCGTGGGGAGCTTCGCCCAGCCCAAGGACAGGCACAGCCTGGATGGCAGCTGCACCAACATGGTGTCCTCAGAGGGAGGGGAGAAGGAAGAGGAGCTGGACAGCATCACGGACGTGCCCACGCCTTCCTCCGTCCTGCGCGGCTCCATGCGGCCGCTGTCCCCCTTCCGCCGGCACAGCTGGGGGCCGGGCAAGAATGCCACCAACGAGGCAGAAATCAATCAGAGGAGGTGAGTGAAGAGCTGCTTTGATTTACTCTGCACCCACCCATGCATATTTATCTGAGCTTTAAAGCTGGCGTGATAAAACTGAAGAGTTTATCACATCACTTTTGATTATTTCTTTTTTCATTTTGAAGAGGTTAAGGCAATCTCCTAATGTATGTTTGTTTGTTTTTTCTTAAATTAACTTTCAGGATTAAAGTACTTAATACCTACAGTATGCTTGAGCTGTCCAGAGTAAATGGAATTACCTCGGGATAGGTCTTCCATTAGAGCTGTCACCACCCCTTTCTGTACAAAGGAATTATTGGAGTGTTAAATCTCATTGACCACAGAATAAACATGACCATCATTGCTCTGATTGTATTAAGGGATAACACAGGCACGGGGGTTTAAAAAAATTATGTGGAAGCTCTTCATGATGGTGAGATGGGTCCTCTCTGTTTCACAGAATTGGTTCCCCCTCAGTCTCTCATGCGCAGTAAGTTCCACCTAATTCATCACTGATGTCCCTGTTCAGGAAGATTAAAAGGAGGAGTTTTCCCTTCTGTTCCTTCAGAAGGTGCAAGGGGCAGGGGTGTACGAGCCATGTGAATGTGTTCATGCTGGTGCCAAGTGACTGTGGGAAGAAAAGTTGCTCAGTCTCCCATTTCAGGAGAGAAGGAGATGAAATGAAGGAAGATGCATGCCAAGAAGTAGTAATTGGTGTGAGGTTCCCTGCCATGCCTTGCAGTGCTCAGCATTTGGGCTGCGGGGTGCTTGGGCCAAACCCTGTGTATTCTGAGCCCAGTGGTGGTTTGGCCTGTGTTTTTGATGCTCTCAGAGCAGGAATGGCCAGTTGCTTGTCAGGGTCAGGGTGCAATATCCTCCCTAGAGCTCACAGAGGCTGCAGCCCCAGGTGTGCAGGGCAGTGCCACCCTCTGGCTGCCTGTTGTGTCCTCATGGCAAACATTTTGCTGTTAACAGAAACAGAGCCATTGCCTGTGGGGCTGGATGGCATTAAATTAAAACTGGCCACTCACAGCTGGTTCCTGAAAATTCTGACCCCTGTGGATAATCCCGGGAGACGCAGCAGCCTCCCATCAGGAATGTATGCATCCTTTACACAGCAGCTGTGGGAATATCACCTTCAGATCTTAAAGTCAATGTTGAAAACCATTCAGGATTTTCTAAGTAACATACAGTGAAAGATTTGTATTGTTGCTGTTGTTGTTCTTTAACGCTGTCACCTTTTTTGAGCTTCATTCCTGGTGTCCAGGTATTTAAATAAGTTAAGAAATCCCCATCATTTTTAGAAGTGACAAAAGAGTCAGCATACCTGCAGGTTTATGACAGAATGAGTCCATAAGCTCATAAACTCATTTGGGGAGATTTATTTTTAATTGTAGGGCCTGGTGCATAAGGATTTCTGAGGGAAATAAACTGCATAGCTGATAATCACTGCTAACACTGAACAGATGGGGTTAAATTCTCCTGCATCACACTTTGGAGGCTGTTTCTGATATGGGAAAATACATTCATTGTAAGTGTAAGAAAATCTGAGTTAAAGGAGCAGTAATTCTTCTCATATGTTCTCACATACAGCTGCAGCTACATAAGGATAGCTGTCGTGTAGGGTAGTTAGAAAAGCTGGGTGGGTCTGTGGTGCTGATTAGATTCATGTTTGTTTTTATGCTTCTTTTAGAAAGGAATTTGGATTATTTGCTGTGTTGTTTTGTTCTTTTCTTTGTTCTTTTCATATCTGGCTGTTGTGATGTTGAGACTCTCGTTGCTTAGTGAAAAAAAACAAATACTGAGGAAGTGAAGTGCTAACAAGTGACTTTCACTCAAATCAGTTAGATTCGGAGTGTTTGCTTAGTCATTTATTTCACATGCAGTATATGCTTTTCCAGTAGAAGGGGAAAAGTCCTTATTGCAACTTGACTTTTGCAAACCTGCAAAGTGGAGTAACACTGAGCACAAGCCTTGGATGAGGTTTGTCCTGCTGATGGGCAGGATCTGTGCTGCTCCCACCACCCTTTGTGCTCCCTCCCCTCCTCTGGGCACCCATGGCACTTCTCTCCTATGTAGGTGAGCAGCTTGCACTCACTAAATGAGGAGAAGAATAACCAAATAAAGTGTAATTGCCACCAAAACCAGTCCAAGGATCAGAACTGGGCTGTGCAGCCAGGAGGAGGAATGGGGCGACAGAGTGCACCATCAGCTGAGCTCTGAGAGGTGCTTCCTGTCCCAGCAGTGACTTGCAGCCCCTGTCCACACCAAAAATAGTCCAGACCTTGATGACAAAGATAGCTAAGTCAAGCTTAGATAGAGGACCCAAAGAGCCTACAGAAAAAAAAATCAGCCTTGTGTAAAATTTGGTCTTTTCCAGTGTTACGTGTTTTCTCTTTGTAAGAGGGATGAGTATAAAAGTTTGTTCACAGAAAAGATCAGGAAAAAAATAATAGTCTTAAATGAAAACATGAAAGGATGCTCAGTTCCCCTTCACTTCCCATCTTTCCTCAAATGTGCTTCACAGATAATCCTTGTGTCTGCATTTTGCTATTAAAAATACAAAAAAACCAACAAGGCTGCACAAAAGGACGTTCATCCTTCAGTTAATTCCTGACATTCATAGCAGATTTGAAATGCCTGTCTTTCAACAATGCTGCAGTGTGTGTTAAACATCCAGGCTGGGGAAAGAAACACCCTCATGTTTCACTGATGGATTAAGCACTGCAGAACTGGAGCTGGTGTTAATCACCATTGCTAACAGCTTCTGTCAAAGTGTTTGGCCTTATCTAAACTCTAAACTGACCTGGCTTTGGCAGCAGTAAAGTTGCAACATGGTCAATACCTGTGCAACCTTCTTTCTGTACAAAATAAAACCAACCAAATCCCAGATTTATTTGTAGAAGAAAGGAGAAACACAGAGACTCATTACCTCCTTTCATATTCCATTTTGTGTTTTCCCTGTGTGCCCATTCCCTCTGTCTGTATGTTGGGGATATTAATCCTTTAGCTGCCATTTGTTAATTTTTTTTCATTCAAGCTGCTGACCATTCTCCATGATTCATTTTCAGTTCAATGCGAATTCTGGGGGATGGTATAAAGAAGCCTCCCATTCATAGGAGAAGGTACAAAGCCAACTAATGTGACTAACTGTATTGTGTTTGAATGTCTACTAACTATATCCTCTCACGTTATCAAACCTGTAGTACCTCTGGAAGTATTGGCATTAGAGCTGTGCATCCCACCTGGCTGCTTTTTCCCTCCAGTCTGACCCAGGGCAGGTTTTGTGCCCCACAGAGCACATGCTTGAGCTGTTTTCTCCAGGACATTGTGTTAATAATGAAGAGAAATCTCAGATATGATTTTGTTGGCTTTTGCCATGTGTTAGATTTGGTGTTGGTTAAGACAGTGGTTTACCTGGGAGCATGTGTGTGATTTGGATTTAAAGCACATCAGAGACTCCTGGCAAGATTGCAGGAGGGGCAGCTGGGGGAAGGGATGGGTCAGACACGATCTCAGAGCTGCAGAACACTCCGCAGGTCTGCAGCTGGTTGAATTAAATGGCTTTAATTTTGCTCTTTTGATGGTCTTTATAACCATCTTCCTAAAAAATAGAAAATAAGGTGTTTTTCTCTTTACTTTCATATGTTTTTCCTGTCTATAACAAACTTCCAGTTTCTCATCCATCCCACAAATACACTCATGTTACTTTTGCATTGACTATTAGTATATAAAAGAGGATACTTAATTTTTGACACAGCAGATGTGGGCTGTCCATATGTAGACATTTTAGGCTAAAGAAAAAAGAGAAGTTGAACTTCTGCCCTTCAGTGGTTCAAGCTTGTCTCACCTCCCATAGCCTGGTACCTCTCTTCCTGTGCTAGGTTTACTCAGGATTTCACTTCACCTGAAATATGGATGGGGTGTTGTGTGTGTAAACAACCTACCACATTCCCACATGTGAAAAGAATGTTACCGTGATGTTATGACCAAAAACATCACTGTGCCTCGCTATGCATCAGCATCAATGAACCCCAGCAGCACTGTACAGTTCAAAAGAATATTCTTAAAAACCAACTTTAAAAAAAAAAAAAAGGCATAGGGAAGAACATGCTGTTTTTCTTCTAAGAAGCCACTTCATTTGTACCACTGCAGGAAGCAGTGCAATGCTTGTCTTCTCAGCTCATGCAAATGACCTTATTTTTGTCAGTATTCTCTTAAAGCTCTTCTGTAGGAGTTGTGTTAGTATTTAGAGTCAAAATATCCTGAAACACTGAGCTTACATATAGAATAAAGAAAACATCTAGAATACCTGGTCATATCTGAAATGTGTGATAATCCCTTCATAAACACTTTCTCACTGTTTCTGGTCTCTAAACCATTTTGGAATCATCCTCTCTAACCCCACTTGTGGAGCAGGAGCCTGAAACTGATTCCAGCTGTTTATGCTCTCCCACAAGACTGATGTAGATAAAAGCTCCTCCTCCTCACCAAATTGTCTTCTTTAAAGGAGTTTTGCATGGTCTGCATTGATCTTTTTAGGATTTTATGAAGTTGCCAACAGACTGTGTGTGGCTCCCCCGCAGGACTGTGATTCTGCAAGAGTGCTTTCCACAGCCTTTGCCAACAAATCCCCTTCCTTCTTTCTGTGAGATTTCAACACTTCCAGGCTTCCTCCTGTATATGTAGGGCTCTTCTTTTTTCCTCCCTCTACAGTTTTAGCATTTGGGATCATCTCCATAACGTGGCAGTGGTCAGGAATAGAGGCATCTTTTAGAGTCTAGTGTAAACATTACATGATTTCTTTAATGAGGGGAATCTTCTTTCCCTCGACTGAAAAGGGACCACACAAAAATGAGTGGCTTCGAAAAGCGAGGCGACATAAGGACATCTGAAAGGGTCCCCCAGGCTCAGTGCTCTTGTGGCCACCAGCAGATGGCCTGGGGAATCACGTGTGACACCTTCCTTGGGGTGCTTTCTCTGCTGCCCCTGAGCAGGTCTGAGTGAACCCAGGCCTGAGAGTGCAGGCTGTGTGTGATGGAGATGGATTTCCTGTGGCCTGGACTTGGTTCCTCTAGGATTTCACACAAGTATTCAGTCCCTGCCATCCCCCACTAATACTTAAACATCTGCCATTGTGGTTGAAGTGGGTGAGGACGATGAAGTACTTGGAAATATTGGCATGTTATGGGAAGGAATGTTTCCATGAAGAATGTTTATAGTACTGTGCTGAGAGCTCCTGGTGAAGCACACCTTTTGAGTGCAAAGCTTTGGGTGTGTCCTCATCCAGTCAACATCCTTTATAAAACAGGCAGCAATTACCTAAACTCTGCCATTGAACACCCATCCAGAACGTTTCCAATTGTCAAACCCTTCCAGAATGTTTCCAGTGTTGCAGTGTGTGTGGAAACAATGTGAGATGGCATGGCATGATGCATTCAGTGGGTTTAAATCTTCGTCTGTGCCCTCAGAGGCTTCTGGCACTCACAGTTCCTTGTCCAGGAAGGCTTAAATTTGTTCTGCCCTTTTCATAGGCTCCCATTATGGAGTAAAGCCTGTTCTGGCCATGTCCCCTCCTTGCATGGATCTCAGACCAGGACCTGGGAGCAGGACTTGTGCTTATTAAAATTCCCTTTAGACAATGTATGCTTCCTGAACAGCTTTTTCAGGATTTAGGGATCATATAAATGTCATAGCTGACAAGATTAATTTCTCTCTTTCTGCAAAACCTGCAATTGAGCCATGAGCTAACAGAGAAAAAATAAGAAAAGCAGTCTGAAATAACAACAAAAATATTTGCATTCTGTATTTGCATTTCTTAGGTCTTTCATGATGCAACTTTGGGACTCTTTCGGGGAATGGGAGCTGAAGGGTTTTTTAGTTAGTGGCACTCTTGATTTAATCCCAAGTCAATAGTAAGATTAGCCTGTTTTTTTTCTTCCAGCCTCTTTCACTGATTGACTGTGTAGCATTTAAGAATGTGTCTTTCTCCTTATTTTTCCAAGTGTAGCCTGAGGTTATTAGTATTTCTATGGAGAGGACTAACACTATGAAATATCTGTAAGGGATTCTTTTTCTGATTTGAGAATGAGAGTTCCCAGGAAAATACTAATAATTACTAACATAATGGCTGTGTGTGATTACTTACAAATTGGCTTTCGTATGTTTTAGCCTTGTTTTTCCCAAAAACCTCTCTCCCCACAAGGAATACTTTTTCCAATACATTGTATACTCACTGGTGGAGTTGGTTTGGGGGAAGCGTGAGCTGTCCTGCTCCCTGTTCAGTTGTAACCTCGGGCATTTGGGGTACTGTGGTGTGTTTGTTCAAGCAGACGTGTGCTACTGCATTATTTCTGAGTTTGTTGTTTTTTGGGTTTTTTTAAGATATGTGAGAGTGAGAGTCTTTTCACGTCCCCCATGTTCCATAACAATCCGATATTCACTGCCCTTTTCCTTTCTTTGCCTCTTTTGCTGTTCCTAGTTTGAGCTGGTGTCCCTCAGGCATACAGTACATTGCCATGGGTCCTGACTTTACTTGTAGAAGGTATGGTATGAATAAATGTGCAGCAGCACAGGAGCTCTGCACACACCCTGTCGTCAGCTTCTCGTGCATCGCCTCCTCCACCGCTGCTCTGGCTGAAGTGTGCACGTGTTTGTTTGCTTGGTCTGCTTTTTCAGCAATTACTCTTGGGAGTGGATCCTCAGAGCTGGGCTGCAGGTGGAGGTGGTGGCTGCTTTCCACTGGCCTCTGGCAGTAAAGAAGCTGCACTGTTGGGTTGAGCTGCTCTGTTCTGTGATGACTTCAAGCCGTGTTTTTTTCCACAGCAGTGATCAGGATGATAATTGTGAGAGCCAAAGAATCAAACCGAGATTAAATATGATTCAGCACTTCTCTGTAGCAGATCAGTCTCATAAAGGATTTAAGTTCACACAGACTTGCTCTCTGTAAATTGAAAGACCTAGTCTTTTCTTCAAGGAGACTAATCATGTAAAATCTTCCCTAAAAAAACCAATCTGATCACCACAGATGAAGATTTCCCAGGCTCTTAAAGTTTGCATCTTCTGTAGAAAGTCCCAGCACTGAGACTGGTGTTTGCAGGCCACATCTTTACCCAATATAGTTTGGAAGCCAGTCCCCCACAATTTATGGCTTTGTAGCTTTACTCTGGCAGTTTTTGCTGGTTGTGGGTAGAGCTATTAAGTCTTTTTCTGAAGAGTAGATATTGAGAAGGAAACCTGCCCTTCATGGACAGTTAATTATGTTTGGTGTATATATGCCAATCAGCAAATTGCAGACCAGTATCACTGATAACTATTTTATGGGCTAATATTTGGAGGTTTTAGCTAGTTTTTTCACAAGTACATTATTTTTTTTCTCTACTGTGCAGCAGCATTGTTGGAATGTAAAAAATAGATTTCTTCTGTCCTAAATAATCAGTAGAAATGTGACTGATTTCTACCTACAGGTGTTTTAGAATAAATTTTTTAATGCCTGCTGTTGATACACATTGATGAGTCACAATCTTCCTAAAGCAGATTAAATTATAAATGCTTCAACTAGTCTTTTTTTCCTCATTAATTACCGTGAAAAAAGGTTTTTATATTACTAAATCTTCTTATTCATGGCTTATTGCAGTTTTTGCTTTCAAGGTGCATATTTATGAGCCTTTTAATGCTTCTAAGGGACTGCAGAGCATTAATCACTGATATGCAAGTCTACCTGAATTTAAAGCTCCTTTGGTTGTTTAAATCATCTGTACAGCCTGTAGCATGTTTTCTTTTTCACGTGTTTCATGTCAGCTTGTTCACCACAGACATCATGATTACCCTCAGGTTGGGATATAAATCCAGGGTAAGGCTGGCACTTAGTGAATATCAAATCAAACATTGGCCATGGATCTGTGCTGGTGTCCTGGGAGGGGAATCTGCAAAGCTTCACCCAGTGAATCCACACTGGCATTTCAGTGGGTTTGTTGATGCTTTGGCACGAGGAGCAAGAGGGTCAGAAGCAGAATATTAGGGCAAGATTTATCGGATTAAATAGTCCCATGTGAAACAGGATGTGTTCTGTATAGATGTGAGGAGAGTATCACTTGTCTATCAGCACCCATCTCTACAGAGTTTGGCCAGATGTTTTATTTCTAACAGTTCTGCAAGCAAAAGTTTAGTGTTTTATTTAGCTTTGAGTTATTGCCCAGCTCTGCTGGGCAAGACCTAGCTCCCTCAGTAGATGATAAAATAAAATTGATTGGGTGATGGAAACAACATTTATTGAATTTAAAACAAAACCACAGCATGGGTAAAACGAAACCAGCTTTGGCAGAATAGATGACATTATCAGTGCCAAAACGGTGCAGTGTCAAGATTTAAAATAGATTGAGAGGATGTGGCTGCAGAGATGAGTGTTACAGCAGCTGATGTGGCTGCTGGGAGGAGTATTGGTCCATGACAGGCAGCACCTGGTAGTTTGATTTGGGTGGCTTTATTCCAAGGGAGAGCCTAATAAAAAGCTATCAAAGAGAATATATGGAAATGCCAAAATCTTTAGAAGGGGTGTTTCTGGATTTTCCTGTGCACCACTCAAAAAGAGTATAAAAACCAGTAGGAAAGGCAATTACCAGGAGTTTCAGTGGTTGTTCAAGCAACAGACAAACCTTCATTAGAAGCACGAAGATGTTGCTATTTGCTCTGAAGAAAAAAGAACATGCTGAGGAGTAGCACCTGCCTTTGCCTGCACACTTCAGTGCCTGCTCTGTGTTTTATGTTTGCAGGTGCTCTGTGCTGAAAGACATTGGTCTCTGAGAGTTTGGCAGCACCTGACCTCTGTGCTTTCTCTTTAGTTACAGCCTGGAAGGCCTTGCTGGAGACTCTGGTGAGAACAAGAAGCCCTCTACAAACCTGGAGGCTTCTTCTCTGAGCTCCAAAGACCTCAGGAGGAGTCCACTTGCCAGCAATCAGTCCCTGGTCCTGCTCACTGAGGAGCTCGAGCAAGGAGAAATCAGAGACTACAACCACCAGGTAAAGCTGTCCAGCTAGTGTTGGATGTCTGGGAAATGCTACATTTTGGAAGTCATTTTCCCAAGTGACAGTCTGACAAAGGCTTCCACCTTATATGTACATATACATAATGTTAAAAATCTTCTGTCTTTAATGTGGAGAAATCTCTGGCTGTTTTAAATTTTCTACTTCGTTCCTTGTGGCAATACTTTTCTCTTGCTTAGAGGAATGGCATTTTTGGGGAACAAACTGCTAAGCATCAGATTTTTTTTGTCATCTTGGACCACAGCCTAGTTCTGCTGAGGAGCTGGAGTCACAACAGCAATTTCCATGGCCATCAGAGAGTTTTATCAATATGTGATTTTTAATGCCTTGCAAGAAAATCAAGCCCACATAGTCTCTCTGTTCCATAATTAGTCATCTAACGCTTAAAAGGCAAAACAAAATGTTGCATTTCACCTGTGCACTGTTTCACTGTTTCAAAGTGAGAGTTGCGGTAAACATCAGCCCTGAACTGGGATCTGAGGCTGGAATGGTCCTGTCATTCCTGACATACTCAGTGTGGTTCTGTTCTGTTCTGCAGGTGCATCAGGCATCACAGCCACAAGGATTTAACTTCTCCTCTTCTGCTGTTTCATCTCCACTGACCAAATCCATGTCTCTAATGTCAATTAGCAAACCAGTGCTCGACAGTGAGTAATCCAGTTTTCCCTTATCCACTCTGTCATCTGTATAATTGAGTATATCTTCTTCCTTCCCAAGGCAAAGTGTGCTACTGCCCACTCATGCTTCCTTTATTACATGAAGGACATGTTTCACTGCTGCATGGAATTGTGGGTGAAAAGGCAGAACTCATTCAGTTTAGTTTTGTTCTTCCCAGAGTATCCCTGCCATTTTCTTTCTGTTAGGTTTCCTCTGTGTGGGTTGTTTTTGGTTTTTTTCTTTCTAAATTAGACTACTGGTATGAAAACTATGATGTATTGAGTTTGTTAACTAAAAAAAAAAAAAAAAAGGATCTAATTTTGCATCCTTTCACCTTTCAGAGTTTCTTCCTTTGATGTCAGGTAAATTCCACTCGAGATATTTCTTCTCTGCATCTAGATTTTTTTAAAGCTGATACATGGGAACTTGAGAATCCATGTCTTGATCTCCTTGGAGGAGTTTGTTGTTATTCATTCTGAGTTAAATATTTTGGAGCAGTTGGGTATAATTTATTGAATCTCATTCCTGGAGAAAATAATAAAAGATGATTCTATAAAATTTTCCAGTTTAGCTTAATTGAAGTGATAACAAGCACTTAATTTTGCAACTTGGCTGAATTGATTCTTTCAGCTGAAAAACTCATTCAGAAGGCTGCAGCTGGATGTGCTTTGGATGTATTACACATGTTTTCATTTTATTAATTGCCAGCCAGAAACCCTATTGACATTTTAGCTCTTGTCAATTAGTAATGGTGTGTGATCTTTCCTCTTTATTAACGTGATTCTCCCTTGCAAAGCACAAGATGCTTTAAGAAAAGTGTTTTATTCATGGAGGCAGCTTGCTGGAGGAAGCTCACAGGGATTGTGCTTTGTTAGGAGGTGGTTTTAAACTCTTCACCATGATAATCCCATGCTTAATAAGGATGTGGCCTAATGGATGTGTCCCCCAGCAGCAGTAACCAAAACAGGGCAGCTCTGTCCTGTGAAGAGACCAGATCCTGCCGTCTGTGGTGGCATTGCCTCTTCCCTCCTCGGGTTGAAGGTCTTCATTGTTGTTTTTTGAGTCAACCAGTTTCTTGGCATTGCACCCAGCCTGTGACCAAACACCAAAAAACTTGGCTGGCTCCCCAGAAATGAGCAGCTGGTGGCTGAGGGAGCCTGGATGGCCAAGGTTGTTCAAATGTCCTGTGGCCAGTTAAAAGTGCCATGGAGGCTTGATTATGCCATCTCCTTCTAGAGCCAGCCTGGCCACCCTGGTCCCTGGAGGAAGAAGGAAAAGAGAAGATGTAGTAACCTCTCCAGAGGGGCTGTGGGCAAAGTAGCAGGGTTAGTCTTCTGCTTTGAGGCAAATGTCTGTGGGTTTGGGACACTGAATGTAAACATTATTAACATTCCTCTAAGCTTTATTTTCTCAGTCATTAATTTGTGACATTTTTATAGGAAGGTGTTTTTTTTTTTTTTAATCAGAGCATTTGAGGGATTCATGTGAGCATCCAAAAGGAATAATCACTTGGAAAATTTAGCTCATGGATTTTTTCCCTAATGCTGACACCTTCCTGACTACAGAAACTTCAGTAAATCATCCAGAAAAGTTGTGAGTGCCCCATCCCTGGAAGTGTTCAAGGCCAGGTTGGATAAGGCTTGATACCTGCTCTAGTGGAAGGTGTCCCTGCCCATGGCAGAGGACTGGAACTGGATGGATTTAAAGGTCCACTCTTATTATTCTGCTTCATTCTTCCCCTTTGAAAGAGGAACAGTTTTATTTGATTTGTGACTGTAGGACATGTGAAGCAGTTTGGTGCCTCTTACAAGGAGGTCTTGATGTGTAAACTCCCCTGTGTCACCTGGGTTTGATGTTCATGTTTTTCCAGCAGGACACTTAAGAGTTATGCAAGAATTATATGGAAGTGAATCCTAGGACAAATTCAGTTCTTTATTCCATTTCCATAATTTTGTGGTAGGTGTTTAAAAAAAACCAGAAGACCCTGTGATCCCTGCAAATGTGTCTGAATGGGAAGAAAGCAACATGCTGTGCTCAACGACTTTAAAGACTAAATCCAGATTAATAAACATATGGAGGGTTTTCTGTTATTTTACTGTTTATTGTCATATGTGCTGAGGCAGGAGCAATTTCCAAGACCAAGTTCCTAGCCCACACTCCATCTGATGTGTCAGATGTTCCAAGAGCTGATGTGGCCATTCACAATGTTAATCCTTCAGCATTTTATAGAGGGAGGTCACAAGAGCTGTTGGCTGGAGTGCTCGGAAGAATGCTTTTAGGGTTGGAATAGCAAATTTCCAGTGTGGAGCACTGTTATAAAGCCAGGAATTGCTATAAATAAAACCACTGAAATGGAAGTTGAACTGTGCTGGCGAAGGTGGTTCAATTTACAGTAAAGTATTATTGTTCATCTTGACTTTTAGTCTAAATAGACAGTAGACTACAGAAGAAAAAGTCATGTTGCCTAATTGTATTCTTCAGGCCTGGAACACTAGAACAACTCCTTCAAAAGGCAGTCTAAACAAAACTAATGCATGGGTCTTCCTAAGAATTCTTCAATTTAAATGCCTTTACTGTGCAAATTGTAGTCAAATTGTTTGTAGACAATTGGTACTTGTGACTAATGGCTGGAGGAAGTCTTATGGGGAGTTCGTTCTGCATTGCTTTTGTAGCATTGGCTATTCCTTGAACAGTGTTTTTATATTCTGGATTCAGTTTTAATGTATGATACCAGCCATGCAAAAAACTCCCATTGTATGTGGCTGACAGGACATGTTTTATTCAAAGAGAGAAATAATTGCTTTGTCTTTCTCTTGGAAGATCAGTACTGGTAAAGTCTTTAGCCTGTTTTCCCTGTTCTGCAAGTGAATTGATGTATCCATGGAATGACTAAAAGTACCTGAATACCTGTGCTGAAGATGTTTAATGTAGGTGTTTAAGTAGGACCCTTAGGTCAGACCTGAGCAGGGGTTCCTCAGCCCTGTCCCAGTCACCTGAGGACACACAGATGCACCATGTGAGCAGTGGGTGTCCAGCAACCAGTTCATAGCTCAGCAGTTTCCACCTGTGCTTGTATGAAGAGAAGGGAAATAGGGCCGTTGGGAATCCAGTTTCAGTGAACAATGGCTAGCTGCCTCCTAATTCTCTTTTCAGAGGCCATGTACTTACAAAGAATTGTTGGGAAGCTGCTGCTATGCAAAGGCTGCTCTTAAAAATAAATGATGGGATATTTGATATCCCATGTTAGTAGACTAATTGCTGAGTTTGGCACTACGTTTGGTAGGCATCTTCCAGGCAAGGGCAAAAGAGGGGTTAGGCAATTTCTTTAAAATCGGGACTTTTACATTTTAGAAGAAGGCAGAAGAAATGCTTGGGGTTTTTTTTTTGTTTAATTTTGGAAGAAGAGAAGGGAAGTGTCTCCATTTTAATGCTGAAAATTTTGAAGGGTATAACATTATCAACATTGTTGATTTTTTTTCTAGACGTAGAAGTGGCAAGAACCCCCCCACAGTAGATAAAGTCAACACTTCAAATAAATTGTCCTTGCTAATATTTGGTAGCTTTGCTGTATCATTTAACTGCAGAAAGAACCTTCACATAGGTATCTTGAGCTGTTCTAGTTTGACTCCATGACAGTTCTTTCACTGAAGCTGATGCCCTTTGTCCAGAGATCCATTTTATTGTTGGTGTTCTGTTTGGAAAGATTCCTGCCTATAGTTCTTCACTAAGAGGTCCTGTAAGAAATTGTTATCAAAAAGAGAAAGACTGGAGCCTCGAGCTGTGCATGCAGTGAGACCTGTGCCCTCTGAAACCTGCACCCTCTGGAATTTGCACATTCTCACTTCTTTGTTTCTTGTGCCTTTCTGGAGCCAGCTGCTTTGCAGACTTTTCCTTTGCTTTGCTTTGCTTTAGTTTGCTTTGGCTGCTTTCCTCTCCTTTTTATTATTAAATGCATTTTCAAGCATGCTCTAATGTCTGCTGTTAACCCACTTCTCAGCCCAGGGCCGGACTCGACCATCGAGACGAATCTCCTTCTCCTTCAGCATCTCTCCACTCATTCCTAAGTCTAAAACTCTCTTTTCTATTGGCTCTTCTTCCAGTGATGAGGAGGAGGAGTTGGATAGTAAGTAACCATTTTCTGTGCAATGCAGCCATAATGGGTGGAAACACAAGGGAAATCTGGTTTTCTGCTTCAGACACTGGAATTTCACCTTGCAAACATTGAACTACCCTTTCCATTGCGTGATGTCTAACAGCATTATCTTAGTCCTGGATCTGAATACTAACTAATGGCAGAATTAAAAGGATTGTTATCCAAAGAATCTTCTACATCAGCACCATCACATCTTATGTGGTTAGTTTTACTCTGCATCCCTGTGGTAGATATCATCACCTGCCACTCTGAGCAGCAAGATAATCTTCACCTTTTTACTAAAACCAAAATATTTGCCTTGAGCTTGTTGCAGGGCATGGAGTTAGCAGAAGAGGTACGTCCTTGCCCTCCATAGGTGACAGTGAGTGAGAAGTGGACAGAAGCCCTGATTATTAAATTCTGAAAATCTTCACAGCGTCTTTACAGTTCCCTCACTATGTAAAAAGCACAAACAAGTAGTCAAAGACCTTAAATCCTCAAGGTGTTCATATCTAGGTCCTGATATTGTTATCAAAATAGTTCTCTGGGAAACAGGTGAGAGTCCTCGGACAACATTTTTTTTCTCCTGCAAACTCCATTGCTAAAAGCAGCCCATCTAAGAAGATTGAATTAAAGTAATTTAGACTCCTCTTTATTTTTAAAATAGGCTTACCGAAGATTATTCAAAATGCTTCCTATTTCTTAAGCATATTTTATTAGACTGTTGAAATAAACCAGACACATTCCTTGTGTCCTTACTGGGATAGGAGAAATTGCTTTCCAGTCAAATAGATTTTGATTGCTTCCTGAATTTAAAACAGTCTCCACGCCATCCACATTGTATATATCTAAATTCTCCTCCTTTCCATTCCTGGTCTTCGCTGTGGGTTTGTCCTTTCCTTCAGCAAAGTCCTGTGCCCAGGTGTGATATTACCACTTCCATATTTAAGCTCCTTCCTTGTTTCTCTGTCCTTTTCTTCTGCTTTTAACAAAACCCACAGTTCATGGTCCCCACAAGGTGAACTGCAAAAACTCTGCATTCATGTGATGTCCCACAGTAAAAAATATCCTTAGGTACTTTTTGTTGGAGTTAATTTGTTTGTTTGTTTGGTGAGTTTTGTTCTTCTCAGCATTTGGGTTATTTTATTTTTGTGTTTGTTTTTTTTTTTTTTTCTTTTAAGCATCCAATACTCTATATTCATGTTAGGGTATGACAGTTTTAGAGGATCTTTATAGTAGCCAGTATTTATCTTCTCTCCCTCAACAGTGCTCCTGTTAACAATGATAATTTAAGATAATAGCAGATATTGTCTCAAACAATGGTATTGTTTTCATTACATATTTGAGGATACTGTGGTGACTTTCTAAAGGTTGATTTAGCCACAGCTCTTTCTGAGCCTGCTTTGGCAGTGGGCATTTTTCATGGAATAATCGCAGACCAGTTTGTTTTTTCACATCTTTAGGGTTCATTTCTCATAAGAGGATGGATGTGTGAACACAGATTACACGTGCATTTCACTTACCACTCCTCAACCTCTCCATTCCTGCTTTTTCTTTAGAAAATGGAGAATTAGTTGAAGTTTTTCTGGTGATACAATTAAGACATGGATTTCAGATGGCTGGACAACTATCATGAAGCCTTTGGATTTCTTGACCCACAGAAGTTTAATTACTAAGAGCATTAAGGCATTGCAAGCTGGTTTCAACATCCTAGTCCAGTCACTGCTTTCTGCAAAATGGATCTTGATTAATTATTTCAAGTCCAGCTACTATATGAATTAATTTTTGTGGGTGGTGCTTAAAAGGTATTCAGATAAATACAGCAAATTTTGGTTGCTAGCCCAAGTTCATTGGACATAGACAGGAGTTTTGGCTTTTGAAACAAAAACTTAATTTTTTTTTTTTGGGTTCTGAAGTCAGATTTCAGTTTTATTCCTGGTCATGACAGGGAACAAAAACATTATGAAAATATGCTTTCCTTCCCCTGTTCTACTTCAGAAACAAACCAGAAGGTGAGAAGATGTGTCTTTTTCTATGCTTATCTTCCTGGGGTTTACAGCTTGCAGCAGTATTGATCATGTGATGTTATATTATAATCTAAAGTATGAAATCATAAACAGACCTTAATTCTTCACTGGATCCATTTTGCCTGCCAGCACCAAGAATCCCCCATTTTAAAGATGAAACAACTATTGAAGTAAAAGATAAATTATGCATAACTGTAGTTCTCATGCAGTGTATTTTCTCAAGGTAGTGAAAAGCAGTCACAAATACCAAATTATTGCAGCTCTTAGTTCAGTGTTTATTCACATTTCTGGTGTTAACTACAAAGAAACAAAAAGACGGGAAATACTTAAATCCAGTCAAACTGATGAATCTTCTAAAAAAAAAAAAAAGTAAAGAGTAAGGAGGTCTAACCCAAATTAAAAGCAAGCTAGAAGTGAAATGGGAACCAGAATTACTGGCGCTTTAACCAAGGATTTGAGAGTCTGTAAATTATTTATGTGATCCTAGTAGGCACTTAGGTTTTATATTATAGTTTTATATTATGAAAATATAATATCACTATTGGAAGTTGAATAGTAGACTTCATTTCATACATATTACAGTATTACTAACTTTGGTGTATTTGGGATAAATCATTAATGAGGTGAAAGATTTTGCAAGGGAAATATTAACACAGCTCTCCAAGCAGGGTTTAGGTAACAGGGTATGCCTGTATTTTAGTTTCTCAATATGAAGAAATGATATTTCTGTCTCAGACTCTGTTGGCACTTGAATCAGTGGTTAGAAAATCTGTATTTAAAGCCTAGTATTGAATGCAGTTTTTCCTAATGCTCTTACTGTTTTTGGATAAAGGGCCATCTTGGCCTCTAATAGCAAGTAGCTCTTTTGCATTCATCCTTAGTATTAAGAGAATTGGAGCCAAAATACTGTTTTTCTTGCAGTATATATGCAGAAGCCTAGTAAGGTGACAGTCATGCAGCTTCTTGAACTTCAGAGAGGGCTGCAAACATTGCTTGTATGAAGGTTTTTTGGAGTCGCAAGCCCAGTTACTTCAGGGAGAGCCCTCTGTCCTGGATCATTTAATCCTGATTTTTCAGTCTTCTTCAGTGGTTCTGGTAAATGGTGTCAGCTCCCAGATCTGCTCCAAATGCATTGTGCAAGCAGGTTTCTTGGGTAGAGAGAGCTGGTGCCACTGGCAGGGCTTCAGCTTCGTGTTGAAATTCAGCCTTTCCTCAAGCAGTGTTTCGTGACGAAGCCCCAGGCTGGTAACGTTCTGTGGAAAACAGAATAAGGCTTCCCTTGTTTCCCTTACTCTTTATGAAGTGCCTCAGGATTTTGATGGGAAAATGAACTACAGTTTTATCAAGGAGAAAAGTTTTATACACGAAACCCGGATGTGCTGTACAATAGATCCTTTCTAGTGGAGTATAAATAAAAGCATTGTGTCAGAATGATTCTCATTTATACGTATTGTCATTGAATTGGCAGTTTTGATTCAGCCACCCTGATTTACCAGCAAGTTTAACAGTTGCATGGTCTTTACTTAATAGCTGAAGAGTGATAAAAATACTAAACAGGCTTTCAACTCAGCATCTAATTTGAGAGCAGCTAAGGATACAGGGAACAAGCTTGATCCTGAGCACATGAAACCTACTTCCAGAAAACATTTCCCTTTCCTCTTGAACCATCCCAGTGTGCAAACCATGTTTTTTGGAATCAGTGGAGTAAGCTTGCAGTCTAACCTGTCCCCCCCCGCCCCTCCCATCTTTTGCAGGTGCGCAGTCATTCGGCGGCTCCATGGGCTCCTCAGTGCAGAGGTACAGTATTGCAGTATATACAGTATAGTATTGCAGTATATACAGTGCAGTAGTGCAATATATACAGTAGAGTATTGCAGTATATACAGTGCAGTAGTGCAGTATATACAGTGCAGTATTGCAGTATATACAGTGCAGTATTGCAGTATATGCAGTACAATATTGCAGTATATACAGTGCAGTAGTGCAGTATATACTGTGCAGTATTGCAGTATATACAGTACAATATTGCAGTATATACAGTAGAGTATTGCAGTATATACAGTGCAGTCGTGCAGTATATACAGTACAATATTGCAGTATATACAGTGCAGTCGTGCAGTATATACAGTGCAGTATTACAGTATATGCAGTGCAGTAGTGCAGTATATACAGTGCAGTAGTGCAGTATATACCATGCAGTATTGCAGTATATACAGTGCAGTATTGCAGTATATACCATGCAGTGTTGCAGTATATACAGTGCAGTATTGCAGTATATGTAGTGCAGTATATACCGTGCAGTATTGCAGTATATACCGTGCAGTATTGCAGTATATACCATGCAGTGTTGCAGTACATACAGTGCAGTATATACAGTGCAATATTGCAGTATCCTGGGGACACCCTGCCTCTTCTCGGGAGACTCCTGCACTGGGCTCTGCCCTGGGCACCCCAAAGCCTTCCTGGCACCAGGGCACTTCAGCTGAAATCAGAAGCTGTGAAAATCAGTCCTGTGTCTCTAAAGGCTGAAGAATGTTTTCGATCACAGAATATGAAAGTCTCAGTCTCATCTCTTTACAAGGCTCTGTTTATTCATAGCTAATACCCAGCATTACTGCAGGGTATTGGTTTACCCTAAGTTTTATGTTACACTAAAAGTAGTTCTTTCTGCCTGTAGCTAATTCTCTCTAACTCTCTATAACAAAGGCCAAAATGATCTTGTTTTTGTGTGTTACTTTCCATCCTTGCAAGTTGCACAGAGGAGATAATCTTCCTGGTGGCTTTCAAGGTGCTTCCCTGGAGGAAGGACGTTTGTGGCACTGGGGGTCTGGTCTCTGTATCACTAACAGCTTTGGCTTTATTTTGTGACTGGGAGGCTCTTCGCCTCTGCTCTCTGCTGTCCTCTCCTCCTTGGTTTAATTAGTATTTGTGTTCTGCTTTTGGTTTGTGTTGTACTTAATATTGACAGACCGTGTCCTTTAATGCAATAATAGTTCCCTTATTCTTTTATCAGAGCTGAAGAAGTCATAAGCTTGTGCATGTAAAGGCTGGCAAAAATTATATGGGATCCTAAAAAGTCCTAAATTAATATACATAGCCACTGTGGTTTATTACTTGATATTGGTATTCTCATTCCTCAGGGAAGGCTTTGCAGACAGTGTGGTTTCTGTTAAAGGCATTCACTGCCTTTTCAGAGTTCATTGGATGCCTTTCTCTGGAAGGAAATGGTTCTTTACAGCATTAATGATTCCTGGTTATTTGACAAGGGGAGCAGCAGAGGGTGCTATGGCATGGCTTGCTTCAAAACAGATATGAGGATTCCTTGAAATTTATCTGAAAATGAGTGGATTGGCATTTTGTCTTCACTTTTCCTTCTCTGGTAAAACACCATAAAGCACCTAGACTGTGTTGGCTAATAATTGCATTTGTCCTTTAAAAATAATCTATCCATTTAATAGACACTTTGGGAAGGAGAAAAAAAAATATGAAAGCAACTTTTATATATACATATTTTTTTTAATTTTAGCATATCTGAAGAGAGCAGCAGTGTCTCTGCTGGTAAAGGTGTAACAAAAGTCAGCCGCACCTTCAGCTACCTCAGGAATAAAATGTCCAGCAGCAAGAAGAGCAAAGTAAGTGCTTCTTGTGATTTGTGGAATGCCCACAGGCAGCAGAGAGGAGTTCTGTGTTTAAGTCTTTGCATGACAAAATTTGCAGCTCATACTTATACTAAATAAAAGCCAAAATATCATTGAAGTTACAATTTCTTGTCTGCTCATGGTGGAATGTTTGCATTATGTACATTTTTAAGGCTCCACTGGTACATTTAAATAATTTGACCAAAAAATTCGTTGGAACACTGATTTCTCAGAAGCATTTAGATGAGAAAAACCTGTTATAGTTAAAAACAGAACTAGCAAAAACAACAAACCTTGAAAGAGGAAGTTTGAAACCAACAAGAAGTTGGTTTCTGGGCTGTGAGGAGGGAGGGGAGGCTTCAGTGTCTTTCCAGCTCGTTTTTAGTCATGTCCAGACCATTAGAAATGCATTTTTCTGGGATGAAATAAAGCAAAATAAAGCACATCTGAGCCTTTTGAAAATTTAGAGAGTTATGTGAAAAAAACCTTTAAAATAAAGGGGTGTTTAGAGCAATAACTGGAGGGGATACTGATAGAAGTTGGTGTTGGTGTGAATTTACCCTTGCCTGGCATGTTGTTTGGGATTATCAGTGAATCTCTTGCTATTAGCAGAGTGCCCTGATTCACATTTGCAAAGTCTTAAACATGCATGCTCTATCTTCTTCAGTTCAGGAAAAAAACCCTCTTTTTTTTTTTCTTTTTTCCTTTTCATTTTAGTCAAGACTTTTGAGAAATTACAACAATTAGCATGAGTAATTTCTCTTCTTCGTTGCCTTGCACAGTAATAAGGCAGTGCTGTGCCAGCAGCAGCATTTCAGGGTGTATGGTAGGAGTTGCAAGTGTTTGAAAGGATTAGGAGGCAGGGAATATACGTGACCTGCAGAGCAGGAGGAGCTCAAACACACAAAACCTCTCTGTCTGGGCAACTTCTGCAGCACTTTGTTTGCTGAAGTACTACATAGCAACACTGAGGTATGTGAAAATTCACTTTTTCTGTAGCCCAAACATGACAGAGTGTTTGATTTACTCCCCTCCACCTTTATAAAAGGTGGTCTTATATTGACTTGTAAAATATCAATCACATCCTTTTCTGCCTGTATGGGTTTGGTTTTTAGTTTTGGTTTTTTTAGCAGTGGAAGCTAAGGTAGGGCAAGATGAAAGCAATAGCAAAGTAGCTAAAATCGTCTTTAAGGAAGTCAGCAATTGTCCAACAGGAGGCACAGCACAGAGGAGTTGAGCAAAACGGGGAGGGGCACCTCCCCATTTTGCTCATCTCCTCCATGCTGTGCCTCCTGTCCCCGGCCCTGCTGCAGCCTCTGGCATCGCCATGGGCTAGTGGGGAGCAGCTCCTGGTGGGGAGCAGCTCTCCTGCCCAGGGGAAGGATGTCCATAAAATGGAATAGATTCTCAGAAGTACCTCAGATAACAGTGAAGCTGGTGGGACTGAAGCACTGGGAGGTAAGAGCTGGGTGTTTCCTGGGGAGTGGGATCCGCTGTCGCGGCGTGGCTGCGGTGCCGCCGTACCTGTTGTGGTGGCTGCTCTGGCACGTCACTTCAGCCGTGAAGCTGGGCTCCAAATCTCACTGGCAGCTCCAACAGCACAAATATAGTCTTGTTCCTACAGTCCTTCTTTAAATAAAGTTCCAGTAACTGCCACAGGAAAAAAGAAAAAGCTGAAAAAAATTTCATTGTGAGACCTTGTCTTTTAGTGGAGTGGCTGGCAGCCCTTGTGTGGAGTTTGCTGCTTCCTCCTTGAAAGTGGTGCACCGATTTCCTGTTTTTCCTGGGGCCGTTCAGCTTTAATTGAAATCAAAAATTAGACTTCAGAATTGCTGGGTTTTGCAGTGAACTTCAGGTAGGCTTAAAGTATAGGATGGGAAATCTCCTTTCAGCATGAGAGCCACAAGATTTGGCTTGAGCTTAGAGTGATCTTTTCTCCTGGAGCTTCACAAGGCTTGGCAGTAGAGCAAAACTCTAGGCATCAACTTGTACCATCAGCCCAGACCTAAACTGCAGAGTTTTAGTTCCTGAATCCTTCCAGGCTGGATGTGGTTGAAGATGGGCAGGTCAGTGGGTGGAAAATGGGGCTGTGGAGGTTCCTGTGGTGTGGTGTGAGCCAAGCTGATGGCTCGGAGGAGGCGGAGATGTGATGCAATGCAGACTCTTTTCTGGCAGCTTTTCTGCTTCAGACAGGATTATTCCATATGGTAATACTCCTAGTTTTGCTTATTTGCAGAACAAAACAGCAGTTTTGGGGCCAGTAAATAGACTTTCTGTTTGACACTTTGCAGGGAGAGACTCCGGCACTGGCATTTTGCCTGGGATGTGTTGGGAGAGGAGTCCTTAGGCTGAGTTGCTCATGATGTGAGTGTGTCATCCAGGGCTCAGCAGTTTCCCTGCAGTGGTTGCAGAGCTCCATCCCTCTTTAAGCCCCTTAATGGCAGTTGCTTACATGGGCAGCTCTGCAGCTCCCTGATATTCAGGCTGGGACAGTATTAGGCAAAGGGCACGTGGCATACAAATAACAAAATGCAAAGATAAGCTGACAGAAGCCTTTACCAGTTTCTGGTAAAGCTTCTCCTTGAGATGCCAGGAAATATGCAGCAACAGTTAAAAGTATAGACCTGAAGTTGATTAGTGTCATAAACATTTTGTAGGTTGGTACATGGAAAGATGAGGAGTTATAATTCAAATTCAGAGTTTTTCTGTGGAGTTGCCTTTAGAATTTGTTTGGAAGAATTCCAAATCCATGAAAGGCTGCAGGGAAAAATGTTTCAAATTTTTAGTAATTACTATTTTCTTTCTAAGGTAGTGATAGAAAAGAATCAAAAACTCTGCTGAAAGTTGGAGAGGCTGTCTGTGCTTGTCATCTTTCAAAGCTGAGTAGCCTAGAGGTTGATTCTGGCTTGTGGAAGATGAGAGTGTCTTTTATGGTATTGCTGTTGTTCTCCAGCCTTTGTTTGGTGCCGTAGGTTGAGAGTTTGTAAAATATCCATTTTGCCAAAAAGCTTCACATGGTTACTTGGGGTCGCATGTAACTGTTGAAAAAGTTGCTAGTTGGAAGGAAAACAGAGGTGGAAATATTTTGGCAGTAAGGCTGTAGAGGCACCGAGGAAGAGCTTGTGTTCTCCATTAGAAATGCAGTTGCAAATCACGAGCCTTATGGTTTGGCCTTAAATGAGCTGTGTTGAAAGTCTGATACACACTGCATGTGGTATTTGTATTTAGCACAATTTATTTAAAGTGCTGAAGAGGCTGATGAGAGCCCAGGAAAAGAAAAGAGGTAAAGTTATTAAGCCAAGCAAGTTTAAAACAAAGGTAGAAGGAAATAAGTGACTTCAGAACAGTCTCGGTGTCATCTGCAGTGTGAGACACCTGTGTGAGTCAATACTATGTAAATCCACTTCCACAGGGGCTTTTTTAAGGGAGAGCTGTGCAGACACATGGCCATTGTTGAGGTGCACCTCGATCGATACCCTCGCCGTGCCAAAGGCAAACACTGAGCAATCTGTAACTAGGGAAGAGACGAGCCAGTGACGAGGCTTTTGGTCATTCTGTCTCGGCAGGAAAAAGAGAAAGATAAAGAGAAAACTAAAGAGAAGGACAAAGATTCCAAGGAGAAGGAAAAAGATAAGAAGCTGTTAAATGGACATCTCTTCACTGCAACCTCCGTTGTAGCCCAAGCAACCTGTTACCACTGTATGAAGCCTTTCAATAAGGATTCGTACTACTGTGCAAGTAAGTCAGGGGGGTTCCCCCCCTTCCATTTGTTTTTCATTGAATCTGGCATGGAAAATGCAAATCTTACACTTTATTTTCCTTTTGCTTGAGGATGTGAGGTGGGAGGGAGACTTAGGAGATAGTGATTCATGGAGCGGTGTGTCGCCTTGTGGAAACTGAACTGAAATGAGTCGTGGCTGCATGGAGGTGTCCTGAAACCTCTTTACTAAACCTGAGCTCAGCCATCACAGCATGCCAGGGGGTTTTCTACCCTTTGTTGGGCTCTATCAGTCAGGAGAACTTTGGTTCTTTCAGCTGCATGTAGTGGCTTGGAGCTGAGGTGATTTGATAAGACGGACAAAGGACAGAGACAGCTGGCTTGGATCGTGGCTTCTATTTCCTTCCAATGGTGAAAAAAAAATGTCCCACCCATCTGTGGTGTATTGCTTTAATTCTCTGAAATACTGCTTTGGTGAGACCACAGCGGGAACCACGTTGTACAGAAAGGAAATGCTGACCCTCTGCTCCCTTCGAACAAGAAATTGCGTCACAGGTCAAATGACAGCTACCTGTGTGCGTGTGAAGGATGTGCAGCACAGGACAGGCAGGGTGGGAACCCCACTGAGGGTTTCTGAGTGATTGGGGATTTTGTCCTCATTTCTTATCAGACGGTTTCTCCTGCCTGTAGCTCGATAAGGTCTGCGGTGTTTGTGTGGTCAAGACCGGAATACTGCTTGGTTCATGCAGCAACCCAAGGCTATAGAATATGCAGACAAAACCCATTTTTTCCCCACTATAGCTCAGTAGAAAAAGCTTTCCTCTCCTCACTATTAGCAATTTTTTACTCCACTAGCTTAGAAATGAGTCAGAGCGACTGCGGGAACTGCTCCCAGGCTGGAGCCTTCCGTTCCTGCTGGTGGATGTGAGCAGGGGAAGGAGCAGCCAGCTGAATCCCAAATGGCACTTCTGAGTTTCCTGGAAGAGATTTCAGCAGAGTTGTTTGTCTGAGACACGCTCTGTGTCAGCCTGATGGGAAATGTAAAACATCAACAATTACAAACTCTCAAATGCATCCTCTCCCTTTCCCCACTTGATTTTCTTAACAGCTTCTGAAGCCACATAGAAAATCAAATATATCCCAGTTTAATGCTCTATATGTTAATGAGTTAAAATAACCCAACAATGTCATATGTTTTAGCACAGATGTTCTTTCCTTGTTTTCAAGGTACAATGCAAAATTGTTGCATGTTTTCTGCATTGGGCAGGAAATGAATGTCATAAAAAATGTTTGGTGAAGGCCTACTTTGAGAGCTCACATCAGCGAGTGGCTCTTTCTCCCACTGCATGTTAAAATCAGCCTCAGATGCTTTGGAAATGATGGATAAGCAGCAGCAGAGGCTCTGATATTCCTGTGCTGATGTAGGCTGGTGCTACACCACTGCTCTGTCTCACCTATGGATAACTTTAAATGCCTTTCAAAGCACTGGGTATTTTAAATCAATGTCTCAGCTCTTCAGTGATGTTCCCCCAGCTTGCTGAAACATCTACTCAATGCTGAAAGATTGTGCATGCTCTGAAACAAACGAGCCTAATTTTTAGCAGCTTTCTGCCTTGTCTTCTTTTACTTTCTGTATGGTCAGTGATGCAGAAAATAAGGTTTTGAGGGTTTTAGTTATTAATACTAGTGACACAGAGGAGTTAGAGGAACTTCTTTCTTGCTGAAAAGTTGAATTGGAGGAATAAAGTCCTTGCAACCAGATTTTTTTTAGCACAAAAAAATCAAATTTTTTGCCAAATGGTACACACTAAAGAGCTGTCTTCAGGCTTTCAAGGCTTGATTGTAAATTTCATGATTCTGAATTGTCTCACTGCCTCTGTTCATGCACCAGAGGAGCAGGTTCTGTTCCTCTTCCTTGTTTGGTCTGAAAGCTTACAGTTCTTTTGTGGGTTTTTGCAAGACTTTTCACATTGCTTTGTTCTGTCTTCTCTTGCACAGGAAGCTTTGAGACATTGTCAGAATAGTAGCACCCTATGACCTTGCCCTGATCTCTGTCAAAATATCAGAATTACTGGTTTTTATTGAGTCATCCCAAATGTAAGAGATTCTAGAAGTGTGAGCATATTTTGTCATTCTGGACATAGAATTTTTTCTTTTTTTTTTCTGCTTCAAGAAATAATTCAGAATTTCACACTTACTTGTAAAACCCAGTTCATTATCTGTGTTAGTGTTGTCACGAATAAGTGGGAATTTTTTTCGCTAAGCTACTGAATCTCATCTTGAGCTGTGATCTTTCATCTGCCAAAAGAGTTAAAACCTGAACTCCATTTCTCAATTCTTATGGAGAAGAAAAAAAAAAAAAACAAAAAAAACCAAACAGTTTTAATCATCTTTGAAAACTTTGATTCCCAGAAATCTGCTGGCAGAAGTCATGAGCAGACCCTGGGTATTCAAAAAAAGACAAAAAACCAAGCCACCCAGCTTTTGCTCTGACATATGTGCAGCAAAGGGTGGTGTTAAAGCATGATGGTCTTTGCACTGGTGAATGTGGTGCTTTTGGAAACTTCAGTTTCCAGCAGGAAGTCCCAACCTCAAGGATTCCTGACAGATGCTGCTCCTGTTACCTTTTCTGGGAACCCTGCAGTACAGCAGCACTTGGGTTCTGTGCTCTAGATCTTATCCATGATGTCTGAGTTTGTGTAAGTCAATTCCCCTGTCCTCTTCCTGTCTTTTAGATCTCATAGTCCTTGTCTTGATGAGAACAGTATTTGTCTTTTCAGAGAAATACTGGCCCTACTATTGGTTTCTTTTTCTGTCTCCTGCTTCTGGTTTCCACCTTGCTTTCAGAGGGAGAATGCCATGAGGGCATTTTTTTTCCTTTTTTTTTATTTTAATCTAAGACCCCTGACAATTCAACCTTGCATTGATTTTTTTACAGAATTTCCTGTTAAATTATCCAAGGAAATATTATTAACAAAGAAAGGGCTAATTTTCCTGGAAAGCAGCCTCTTTCTCAGTATTTGTAGCTAGTCATGTAAACCACAATGATGCCTGAAAGTTACAATTCTCCGTTGTGTAAGTTAACAGTTCAGATTACAAACAGCAAAAATTGACCTGTTTTCTGCAGGGTTTTGTTTCATTCATTGGTTTTTGGGTTTTTCTTGACAGACTGTAATGCAATTGTTCACAAAGGCTGTAAGGAGAATTTTGCTTCTTGTGCAAAGGTCAAAATGAAGGTAAGGGATTTAATCTACTCTACTGAATATATATATATATATATATGTATGTATATAAACACTTTCTACCACAGGTCACAAAGTTTCCAGTTTGTTGTAAAGAACTTCAGCCCTAGTGCTAAAGCTTTCACATAATGAAAACTGTTAAATATACTGTTTATATGAGGAACTCACAGATTTCATGCTTACTCCAAATTCAAGGAACTTGCTTCTCCAAGCTAAATAATGTTTGTGTAATTATGATTTCAGTTCACTTCAGTATTGTCATCACTTTCACATTTTCATATTTACTGAACATTTCTCCATCTGTTATTTTGCCCACTTCATTCAGAGAAAATAAAAAAATATATTTAAAAATACACATACACTGAGAGGCTTCAGGAAAAAAAAAACAGTTTTTTTTTGTTTTAGTTACATGGCACAACCTTCTGGGAGAAGGGAGGAAGAAATTAAAGTGAATTTAATTTTTCTTTCAGCCACAGAGAGGGATGCTGCAGGCACACGATACCTCTTCGTTACCCACAGTAACCATGAGGAACAAAAGTAAGACAATTTATTTCCGTCTGCTTTGGGAGTGGTCTGTGTCTGCTGCTCTTAACTGTTTTGACAACTGATACTTGATATTATGAAAAATAAGCTTTTAACAAAGCAGGATGAGAGCATCCTCTGTGCATGCTAAGCAATATTTGAGACTTCAGAAGTTGTACAGAAGTCGTCCAGAGTTCATCCCCTTCTGCAGTGTCTGTGTAGCTTTAAGGAAATATAAAATAATCTCAGATTTAGAAAAATCACTTGTCTGTTGTAGCTTGCAGAAGGCCTATAACTGTTAAGGTCACAGAATCTGGAAGATGCAGCCTATGTCCATGGGTGTCTTACATGGGAAAGAATCCAACTATGAGTATTAAGTGGAGAGAATTTAAAATACAGTTATTTTTGGTTTAAATAGTCTTGGGCTTTCAGGTAGGCAAAATAGAAGGTTTAATTTTGAGAAGGAGGAATACTGACAACTGCTCCTGACTTTGCTGAGATACACACTGCATTGCAGAGTGACCCAGTGTGACCAAGGATGAAGAATAGGTGTGAAATAGCCCAGATTGGTTTTGTAGAGCCATGATTTGATAAGCTTAAGTGATAAGCTTTGATAAGATAAATGATTGTTTGTATGGAACCACACTATATAATACAGTTGTAATCACTGTGGTATTTATCATGAAGTTCAGAGGGGTTGGTCCACGTAGTAGAAATGCATCTGAAGAAGGAAAAATCTGGAATTAATATGAACAGATTATTTAAAGGTACGTGATGGTATAATGAAATCGGAATTATCATTTCTCTGGGGTACCTCCTGATAGGAGAAACGTATCTCAAAAGAGTTTCACCAGAAACATCAAGGTCAAAGGTTATATGACTATGGACCCAGGGAAATAAAAAGGCAACAGGGTGGATTGTGACATAAGGTTAATTATCAAAACAGTTAAATTCAGTTTCCCATGTGTGTTTCTGGAGTTGCAGGTCCCACATCGGTATTTCAAGCATAGTGCACTGACTTCTGCTCAGGGGTCAATGGTCTTCCTTTCCTATGGCTGTTCCTAACTGCTGACACCCCCTGGGGGTGATTCTAGAAAGAAAAGGCAGTGGATTTCAGAGTCTGGATCCTTTAAGTTGTCCCCATGCCAGTTACCAGTGGTTAAGGTGTTTGCATGGGCTGACTGTTCTCCCACCCTTCCACTGCAGGCTCGCAGCCGAAGGAGCGCCCGCGCTCCGCGATCCTCGCGCCCGACGAGAGCACCGTCGCCTCCACCTTCAGCAACAGGAGATCACAGCAGCCCACTGCACTCTCCAAAAGCGTCTCCATACAGAACATTGCAGGGTAAGGCTCCTTCCTGCGCACCTGACTCTGCATGTGTGTTGTCTGACACTGCTAACATGAAGACATAATTTCAGTCTCACTAGAAATAAGTTCACGTGCTGTGACTTGCGTTACAGGTACAAAAGGGATCACAAACAGAGAAATAGCCATGTTCTATATGATAACATCAGTTATCATATAGATAACTGATGTTATCATATAGATATCAGTTGTCTTCTGCACAATCTTGTGTGAGTTAGTTTAGTCATGGCAGGAATTCAGAGGCACAGCTGAGCTAGCCTGGTAGATTCAAGGCCACTTCCCAGGGATGCTCTGGGCTCCTAGGAAGAAATTCCCTTGCTTGGGCTGGATGCTGTGCAAACACACATTGGCAGCTCAGGTGTAGTATTAACTTTTGTGCCCATAACAAGAGGGTGAAGGCACAGAGCTGCAGTCTTCCTGTTTTTAGATGGCATTATACATAACTCATTACAAAAAAACATAGAAGAAAATCTAATTTATGGTTCCTACTGTACTTTCATATTGAGCAGTTCTACATGTCAGGCAGTCACAGGGACTGGCTTATTCTTGGCAATTTGAATGTCCTGGCTATTCATTTCAGTCCATTTTCTGATCTTTCTCAGAGCTAGTGATAAGGATTCTTGTATAGCCTTTGGTGTGGCATTTTTTCGCACTATTTGCTCCAAAGGCAATGAGGATGGGACATGACTGGAATGGAGTTTTCCAAACTATAAAACCTCAGGAGTGGTTCTTTATGGAAAGCACCGTCACTCATAACTGTAGCACTTACAGCTTCTCAAGCTCCAGTGGGTAGTTAGTAAACAACACATAAAGGCACATTTCTGTATGTAATCATGCAGTGCTGGTTTTGTTTTTAAATTCGTATTTTAAATGCATTTATTCTGCTTATCTGAAAGTACATTTGGCTGGGTTTTTGTCATAAACAATATTGTGTGTTCTGTTTTTCTGCAGAGTTGGGAATGATGACAGCTTAATACACACTTGGAAATTCCTGTCGCAGTCAACAGACTCTTTACATAAAATCAGCCGGGTTAATGAATCCATGGAGTCACTGGTTGATGAAGGTAAGAGATCTCCATGGCATTTATAGGAGAAGGAAGGTCTCAGTGCTGCTTTCCAGAAATAGAAAATCCATTTTCAGCAATTGTCGTCTTTTATAATGGACAATTAAAGTGCATTTATTTTAATCTCAGAATATTAGTATGATAAACTAAAACAACGCCCCACATAGTAATTTCTTTAGCTCACTGAATTATGGAAAAACATTTAGAAGGTTTCAGTTACAGTTGAGTTACTTGGAATTTAGCTCAGGGACAAACATTTCCTCTTCTGTTGTGGTTTTTTATTTAACTGCAATGTCGTTTCATGGTAGATTAGGAATACATTATCTGAGCTAGAATTTGGTCCATGTGAAAATGGTGAACAGGAAACTAGGAAATAACCTTTAAAAGTGTTTTTCATAAGTAGGCTTTATGTGGTATGTGATCATTTGTGTCAGTAAAGGAGAAGGTGTGTGATGTCTGTGGTGTGACTGACAGAGCCTAAACCTAAATAATTAGACAGGAATCTCAAATGAGACAAATTACCCACATCTTAATGGCACTTATATTGGTTTGTGAAGGTGCAGACATGAATGAAGGACAGCTCATGGGAGATCTGGAATTAGATTCCAAGCAGCTGGAGGCAGAGTCCTGGAGCCAAGCAGTGGACAGCAAGTTCCTACAGCAGCAATACAAAGATGTTGTCAAACGGCAAGATGTGATTTATGGTGAGACATCTTCACTTTTCACCCACTGTAAAAAGCTCCTTGATAGGAACATCGCTTTAATTTCCTCAAAAGTCAAACATTGATTCTTGAAGTTCCTAGGAATGTAATGTATTCTGTGAAAGCTGTCTTCCTGCATTTCACATATCCAGAAGCCATCAAAATCCCCAGAAACTGCCTCTCCTCATTTGTCTGCTGATGACTTTCAAACTGGGTTCCACCACAAGTAGCTAACTACGAAGTCTTTTCCTGAGGGATTCAGGAGCCATCCTGTATGGCAAAAGGGGGATGTGTGGAGGCTGGCAGTGAGGTGTTAGGAAGAAGAAGATAGCAGGCTGAAGGTTGAGATCCCAGCAGCAACATCCAAAGCTCTCTGGTGTGGGGCACCTCTTCCCTCCTGTTTCTCTCACACATGAAACTCTTGACTGATGTTACAATTCCTGACATGAAATTTTTTGAAACCACTTAGAGAAGGCCAGTTATGGAAAAGCTTTCTAATGGCACCTTTTCCTTGTGCTTTAACCCATGAACTCTTGTCCTCATCCTATGCAGAGCTAATGCAGACAGAAATGCACCATGTCCGTACCCTGAAGATCATGAATGATGTGTACAGTGCAGCCATGGTAAAGGAACTGCAGTATGATCAGCAAGTCGTGGACAAGATCTTTCCCTGCCTGGAAAACTTGCTGCACATCCACAGTCAGTTTTTCCAGCGGATTCTGGAAAGGAAGAAGGAGTCACTAGCAGACAAAAGTGAAAAGAACTTTGTTATCAGGAGGATAGGTGACATCCTAGTGAATCAAGTAAGTGCTGGAAAATGTTTGCAGTTCTGAGAACACAGCTGGAAGCCAGATGCTTTTCCTTCCCTCCTATTTGTGCCTGTCAGATAAGCACAGCTGATGGCACCTTTACTCTTCACACATACAAATCTCTGCCTTTGCTTTTTGAAGCACTTTTTGCTCTTTCAGAGGAAGGTCTACTGTTGAAAATTAATTTAGTTCATTTTGTGGGAAAGAGAAGCTTTCACTGACAGGCACAAAACAGTTTGGCCACAGACTGCAGTGTAGGCAACAGTTCACAGCAAAAGTGTATTTCTTGGCTGCATTACTGACCTGGTGTTTAACTCAGAATGTGTCATTTTACTTTTCTTTATCCACAGTTTCTGTCTTTCTTTTGTCTCTTTTTGTGGTTGGCTTTTAAGCCATGGGAGTGGATTTGCAAATTTTGCTGTAGGTGTGAGCTCAGTGAAGTCCCCAACACAAGTCTTTACTCTCTAGTGATCTGCTTGCATGGTTGAGAATGCTTTGGGCTAATTTGATTTCATCAAGTTCATCTGAGAGCCTGGCAGGCACTGCTGGGATGTCACCCCAGGAGTTCAGTGCAGGCTGGAGCTGTGTGTCCCTTTCTTTGCAGTTCTCTGGGGAGAACGCTGAGCGAATGAAGAAAACGTACGGCAAATTCTGTGGGCATCACAACGAGGCTGTCAATTACTTCAAAGAGCTTTTCTCGAAGGAGAAGCGCTTTCAGGCATTTGTCAAGGTAGGACTCTGCAGGACAGGTGTAGCCAATGGAAAAAACACCTCCTTTCTGCACTCTGGGGGAGTGTTTTGCTGCAGAACTGAAATTTTCATCTTTGTTCCTTAGAAAAAAATGAGCAGCTCCCTGGTGAGGCGTCTTGGGATTCCGGAATGTATCTTGTTGGTAACACAGAGAATCACAAAGTACCCGGTTCTTTTACAAAGGATACTGCAGTACACCAAAGGTAGGGACCAGTTCCTCTATTCTAAGCACATAGTTGTTTGTCTAGTGTGAAGTTTTCATCCTTTACAGACGAAGCAGATTTTCTTACCAGCTAATCCAGTCATTGTTGTCTCACATCACTGCAAAGAGATAACTCAATTCCATACTTCCATTTAGGATTGGTTGTTTAGGTACCTTGATTTAGTTTTTAGAAGTCTGTCTGTAGCTAATTATGGAGCAACATGCCTATACTCCAAATTCTCCCAGCTTGCTTTTTTTGATATTGGCTAACATATGTAGTTAATTTGTACATTTCATCTTTACTGTCTTAGATGCAAAGTGTATTAGAATATTCTCCAGCCTCAACCATGTATATGTGACAAGTTTTGTGAAACTCTCTTTAAGGAGGAAAAATGTCTCATTTAAGTACCAAAAAGTTATAATGTGGGAACTTGGGAGAAGAGGAAGGAAGGAAGTAAAAGTGGGAAGTTAGACTGCACAAAGTCAAATCGAGATATTTCTGTTTCTTTTTTAAAGAAAACGACGTGGAACATGAAGACTTGACTCAGTCATTAAACCTCGTTAAAGATGTGATTGCTGCAGTCAACAGCAAAGTCAGCAAGTATGAAAAGAAAAAGCGTCTTGAGGAGATTTACAGCCGGACAGATAGCAAGTCCATCATGAGGATGAAGAGTGGCCAGATGTTTGCAAGAGAGGACTTGAGTCGTCGGAAGCTCATCCGAGATGGGCCTGTTTCCCTAAAAAGCTCAGGTGGCCGGTTAAAAGGTAAGACTCTCCTGCCTTCTGCTGTGGAAGGATGCAGCTCACCCTCTCTGGGTGCAGCATTAGTCCTCAGATTGGTGCCTCCACCCTTGATTTATTCTTCTGCTTTGATAGATTGTGACACCAGCCTTCCCCTGATGTACCCCCACTCCCCATTGCATTTCCAACCACTTGTGTGGGTTCTGGGGTGATAGAGAGCTGCTTTTCCTCCTGGTGACTGTGTGGCTGCTGAGGGCTCGGGTGGCAGTGACGCCTCAGTGTATCAGCCAAGGGGCAGAGTTACTGTGGGGTGCTCTGGGCCAGGAGGACACAATGGGGCTGCAGTTCCCAGAGCATGGAGTCAGATCTCCATGCCTGTGCCATGGTTCCAGGAGTTGTGCTGGCTAAATCTAGAACCCAGCCTCAACTTTCTGGACCTCTCCTTCCCTCCAGGGGCTGTGGCAGGTCTGCAGCAGTACCATCCCAGTTGCACTGGGATCCAGGGAGATGTCCCAGGTATTTGTTGCTCTTGAACCCCTTAAGCTGTTGACACAAACTGTTCAGAAGAGGCTCTAGTCTCCCTGCAGCTGCCTCTTGTTGGGTCAGTGTTTTCTTGAGTTGCTTTTTGTTTGTTATCAGGTGGAAGTAGTTTTTTTAAGGTGCTGTGCACTGAAGTTCTCCAGTGAGTTAAAAGCTAAATCTCCCGAGGAAACTTTCAGCTGATACCACGGTAGCAGTAAGAGCAGACAGAGCTGTGCCTCAGGCTTGGCAGGAAGGCTGGGCTTCCCTTCCTCCCTGCAGCATTAGCTGATTAAATTATGGTCTGTGGGCATGAATGGGGCCTGGGAGCCTGATGCCGTGCTGTGCAGGGAGGTGGTGATAATGTGGAATTCCATATGGGGTATGATTTATTTTGAGGTTTTGGAAGCAGGAAGTTTACAGATGATTTCTAGGCACCCGAGACTGCTACTGCCTTTAGATGATGGATGAAGCAAGTTCTGCTGCTGTTGTGAAATCGTGATAAGAACAGGCTCCATTTGCATTTCTTAGTCATAGAAATTCACAAACATGTCCATAGTGCAAACTCCCAGGGAAAGTAGGTCCTGCAGGCAGGCTGCAGACCCAGGGAGAGAGTAGATCATTCATATATTCAGGTTATTTTGTGGTATTTAAAATGGAGCACCGAAAATTAGAGGAAGAACTTTTGTTTAAGGGTTTTAGCATTTTACTTCTTGCAAAGTGCATGGAACAGAGAAAAAGGCAGTAATATGTCACCTTCTGCAAACCTCCCAGAGCCTGGATTTCATTTTGCAGCTTTGCTTAAAGTTTAGTGGTTCTTTTATCTGGAATGGATTCTGTCTTCCCAAGGCAGACTGGAGGATTTACCCATGGGATGATTTAAGTTTCTGGTTTGCTTCCTTTCTGTCACAAGATTTCCCAAGTACATTACACAAAACCTCTTTGTACTGAGGGGTCTGGGTGGGGCGTTACACTTGGTAGTTGCTGTGCAACTTTATGATATGTTATTAGGAGACTTGGAAGGCTCTATGTGTACTCTGGGAAAAGACTGATTTAAAATCCTCTGTTGGCCTGAGGTTGTGTTTCCTTCTCTCGTGAAAGAAAGCCAGGTCCTGTGTCTCACACAGGCTCCCCTCAGAGTTGTGTTTGTCTGAGAGCAGAATTACTGGTGGCTCCTGAAGTCAGTATTTCCTGGGAAAGAAACTGCAGCTGACAAATGTTGTTATTGCACGATAATTTACACTGCAAACCACTCATCAAGAGAACCATAAAATCCAAAACTTCCTGTGCAGATATTTTGCTTGAGGGCTGAAATATTGATTGTTTGAGAAAACAGAGTTTCTATTGAATAAATGTCTCTGGCTTTCACTGTTATGCCCATGTCTCAACTGGTAGTGAGCATGCGGCTGCAGAGGAGCACCCCTGCTCTGATGGGTGAGAGCAAATCCTGCAGGATGCCCAGGTGCTGATGTGTCCTGTTTAATGCAAAGCTGATTCAGAGCTAACATGATCTGGCATCTCCAGGAACTGCCCTTGCTCCTCCTGCCGACTGGGAGGTTGATCTTGCTTTCTGGATTTGCCAAACCAGCCCTGCTGCTCCCCAGCGCTCGTGTTATTGCAAATCTTTTCTGGGTGGTTGTGTGGTTGTACTGCACTGGTGTGCCTCTTCTTTTGCAGAAGTCCAGGCTGTTCTCCTCTCTGACACACTCGTGTTCCTTCAGGAGAAGGACCAGAAGTATGTCTTTGCCTCACTGGTAAGGCTTCAGCCTTTTTTCCTCCTTACTTTTCTATGGGAGAGACCCATGATGTTGTGTTGTGCAGCACAGCCAGCAATTGCCTGCTAAACAACTTAATTTTCTTGCTCAGAACATTTTTGTTTGCTGAGCACACTCCATTCTTTCTGATGGGAAAACATGCCTTCATGCCCCACCTCCCCTTCCTGCAGTGCCTTGGCACAGCTGATAATTGGCCTTGAAAATCTGCCTGTCACTGGAAACACTTGTGCTTTGCAATTTGTGCACACTGGAGCAGTGACTGGGCTGGGAGGGGGTGAGGGGATAATGCAAACATTGTAAAAAAGAACCTCAGCTGAAGGAAATGTCCAAATACACTGTGAGCTGCTGCAGGGGGCAGTGAGGTGAAATGCCAGGGTGGTAAATTCAACAGAACAGCTTGAAAATAAATGTCAGAGAAATATCTCTGTAATGTGTAGGAGCAAAAACATGAGGTTTGAGGGCAGGCCCCCAAAAAGGGCTGGGCACATTGACCTGCTAAAGAAAACCTGGTGCCTGGTGGAGTCTGCTGGGCTGTACCTTCCAGGCACGGTCTAGACTGGCTAAACCTTGTGACCTTTCCACTCTTTGAGCATTTTGAAAGCTGATAATTTGTTATTCCAGTTCCACCAACCCTGTGCACAGGCTCAGTGCCCTGCACTGGGGAAGTTGATTTGCATACAAGTCCTGCTAGTGAACCAGATCACCCCAGCTGTAGCATGTGGTACAGTGCACAAAGGGGTGACTTGTGTGCAGATGACACAGCAGCCTGGGGACATTGTAACCCAGCAGGCTGATGACACAGAGACCATAGCACACGGTGAACATCACCTCATACACCAGTTCTCACATAGCAGTCAGCTGTGAGTGTCTGAGAACAGCAGGGGTTTTCTGGGATTTGGAAACAAGACTTTATCCTGGAGAGAGATTGTGAAGACACTGTGTGTGAAGCAGGCTAGCAAGCTGCACCAAGTGTAAGGAGCTGTGATATTAATGACAGGGAGAGTGTGGTCAGTAGGAAATGAGATCAGAGCAAAATATGGTACAGTTTACCAAACCACAAAGTCAGTTTGAAATAAATTCTTTCTTGAAATGGAGTGAGGTAAAATTGCTTTTCCTACATAAATGTTGGAGGAAAGCAAACCCATCCCTTTTGTTTGACCCCATTCAAATGATTTTGTTTTTTTAATTAGCCAATATGTTCAGGAGATGTTTACAAACCTGAGAGATGTAGCACTATGTAGCACTTTTCAATGTAGTTTGAATCTGGGAGCTAGCTCTGGTCACCCTGGTCACCCATTTCTTTCCATCTGAAGGACCAGAAATCCACTGTGATCTCTCTGAAGAAGCTGATTGTGCGAGAAGTGGCTCATGAAGAGAAGGGTTTGTTCCTGATCAGCATGGGTGGAAAGGATCCCGAAATGGTGGAAGTCCATGCCAGCTCCAAAGAAGAGCGCAACGGCTGGATACAGATCATTCAGGACACCATGCACACCATGTAAGACACTCAGCTGTTCTTGTGAGGCAGGGGGTGCACTGGGTGTGTTCCTGTAGTGATTGAGCCGTATCTCCTGTCCAGGGATAGAGATGAAGATGAAGGAGTTCCTTGCGAGTCTGAGTTTGAAAAGAAATTGTCGGATGCAAAAGTGAGAGGACTGAAAGGTAAAATCTGCCTGGAACAGAGCTGGGGAGCCACTGCGGAAAAATGTACGGGAGTTTTTGGGTTGGGTTTTGTGGTGGAAGTGTGACTTTTTTCAGTCCTGCATCCAGCAAATTACTGCAGTCCTGGTTTGCAGGTTGCCTTCCTTGCATTATTTATTTTCCCGAGACTGCTGTGCCAGATTGCCCAGGGCACTGTGGTGCTGCCAAGCCCAGCACATATTGTCGTGCTCCACTAGATGGGGCCAATATCTCAGGAATAGCTCAGGTTTCCTTGCCAAAGCTTTTATTTTGTCTTCATCCCTGTTTTCTGTTCACCCCCACAGAACAACTTCAGCAGAAGGATAAACAGATCTTGGTCTTGCTGGAGGAGAAGACGAAGATCTTCCAGGACATGGCAGACAGTTCTGTGCAGGAGGAGACGCCAAGCTCCAGGCTGCTCTTCAGAGCCAACACAGAGGAGGCTCCAAAAGGAGAGGAAATCATGAAAACAGCAATAAATGAAGGTGAGCCAGTCATGTGACATGTAAATTATAGTAACCAACTATAATTGGTTACTATCAGTGAAGGTATCATTTCTCAAGCACCAGTTTTGCAGGGGACGTCTTCTCTTTGTCAGAATAACAAGATAAGGAGAAACTGCTCCTCATGGTATTGTCTCAGGGACAGATCATGAGGATCAGGAGAGGAAGCAGGTATTGAGGGGGTCTTGAAAGAGGGCAGGAAAGTCAGCACAAAGAAAACCATGCATTGAACCTGCTTTGGGGTCAGGAACAGCATGGGATTTATCCTTGGCTGAAATTTGGACCATCCAGGCTTTTGGTGTTCTTCAGTCTCAGCATGATGTGAGGGTGGGGCTTGGGTTCCAGCACGTACTTGTGGTGCTTGCAAGGGACAAGCAGTTCTGTTGACAAAGGCAAGGGTAGGTGGAAACTCAGGCTACTTTCCATTATGATCTTTGGAGAGGCTAAAATTATTAAATGCTGTTGTCAGAGAACATTGAGGTTGCCTGAAGGAAGAGAGGGAGGGAGGTGTAAGCTTTTTGCAGAGCTCCAAGAGTTGGAGTTAGTGGTCAGACAGAGTGATTTTTTGCAGGGGTGATGTGTACTGTTCACATCACTGTCACAGAAACCTAGATTCTTTGTACACCAAATAATTCCTGACCTGAACTCAGGCAGGGATGAAAAAAGCTCAGAAACCTGAGATGGGTTTTAACAAAGATATTGCTGCTTTTTATCAGTTGAACTGCTGCAACACCTGGTGAGCAGGAGCCTGGGCACTGCCCTCGGACAGCAGGTCAGCAGCACTGCCATGGATCAGGAGGGAGGAGTTGGCCCCATTTCACTCCCTAGAAGGGCAGAAACTTTTGGAGGATTTGACAGTCATCAGATGAACGCCTCCAAGGGTGAGTAGTTCTGTGTGTGCTCATCAGAATTTGTTAATAACACACGTCATCGTATCCTCTTGCTTCAGAAGGACTTCAGCTGGTGGTTTGAGTTTCACAACTCCTCTCCAACAACAGGTGACAGATTAAAACACAGATTAGGAAAAAAGCTTATGTACAGGTGGATTGATGGTAGCTAAGAACCTGTGGCTATACAAGGGTTAAACATCTGAACTCTTCACTCATCTCTGTGCTCTCTCTAAGTAATACTTGCTATTTTACTTATGTGCCACATGAAAGCATTTGGCTCCTCAATAAATTAGTTTCTTCATGTTATTATTGTAATATCTACAGGTCTGTTCTTTGTTCTTCACTTTTCTTCCCAGCAGGAGCCTGATGCTGTTGCATTTACAAATGGATGTGGATATTGCTGAATCAAACACCTTCTCCCCTGTCTCTACTCTCTATGCATTTATGTTCCACCTACATCTGCATGTATTATTCCTCCAATTAAGTCTCTCCCAAAGAAGTGCGTGACTACTTATTTCAGCTGCATACTTGGCTGCTTCCCAATGCCCTCTTTCTTTGCTCTAGTCATCAGAAACTTCCCTGTCCTCAAATTCCTTTCTCTGTGGTCTTACTCACACTCCCAATATAACCAGTTTTGCTGCGCTAGTGTCTGTCTCAGCACTGGCATTGTTGGACCTCATCTGACCTCCTGCATTAAAGGAGCAGTGTTAGCTCCAGACAGTCAGACATGAGAACCATGTAGAGGCTTTCCCAGCTCTCCTGGAGAGCCCCAAAGCCTTGTCATCGTGATGACAGATATACTCACACTGGAGGGGTTTGTTGAGGGCTGTGCCTCTCTCTGTTGCAACGATGAATGGGACAACTTCGGGCTGTTGCCGAAATCTAAGTTTTCTGTAGAAATACCCTCTGATTCTAATTCAGTAGTTGTAGGGTCTTGGGAGATTTTGGGAAAAGAATGCAGGGCCTATTTGTTCTGCCCAGGAGGTATGAAACGTGGCATTCTCTCCAGTTCTTCTGTTCACAACCTGTGAAACCTCGGGCAAGGCTTATAACCTGACTCCCCTTCATTCTCCCCTCCAGCAAAGCAGAAGGGAGGAGTTTCCTCCTGCAGAGAGGTGGAAGGTCCCAGGACGTGGCGCAGGAGAGCAGGTCTGTTAGGAGGACTTCAGGGTCAGCCTCTAACAGCAGAGCCAGCCTCGGGGGTGGGGGGAGGAGAGGGCCTTTACACCAGGTGTGGTGTCCTTCACGCTGCTGCAGATGCAGGTTTATGTAAAGTCTTAAAGAGTGGCAGAAGGAAAGTTGCCACTGCAGGTGTGGGTTTTCCCCATGGGCTGCATCTCAGCTGGCAGCAGGAGTACAATAGTCTTGGCAAGAGCTAGAGGATGGAAGGTCTGTGTGACTCCTTTTGAGCAGAAGGGCAGCACAGGGGGAGGGTCAGAGCCCTCCTGTCCCCACAGGTCAGCTCAGTCCTGCTCAGGAGCACTGATATGAGCCATCCAGGGGGAAGTTAGAAAGAGAAGCCCAGTGTCCCTTTGAAGATCCAGGTATCTGATAGCTAAGGTTAATGATAAATTGTTAGCGTAGAATTACACAGGGTGTTGCACGGTAGTATCTGACCCAGATGTAAATTAACTTGCACAAGAGAGGCATTGAAACTATACCTGCAATAATATACCCTGATATGATTCTGTTATCATCCTCCATCTGCTCTTATGCTGCCTCATGTCTTCTCAGCAAGTATTCTGTGGTAGTAGACAGCAGTGCAGGGGCTAGACAGAGCACCAGCTAATAGCTGAATTTATCAGCACGTTCTCTGAAACCAAAGTCAAGCCTAATCTAAATTCACATCCACTTTTCCTGGTAGTGCTGACGTGTTCCGTATATTTAGGGCTCAAATTCATTTAGTTAAAATGTCAAGAGCTCTGTGTCCGCTTTTGTGGGACACATGAGTTTCCTGTATTAAATTCCTCAGACTTTAGCAAGTTCATCTCTGCCTTAAAATGTTGAATAACTGATGTCAGTGCTGGCTTCTTCCTTTAGGTGGAGCGAAAGATGAAGGCGATGATGCTCAGGACCTTCGGAGAACAGAGTCAGACAGCATTTTAAAGAAGGTATGGCTTGATTTGTGTGTCTGCCACCACTGAGTTCAGATTTCAGGAGTGACAGCTCTAGCCTTAAAAAAATGCCTGAAAATTTCTTGACAATTGCATACATCCTAATGAGTTAAAAATAAAATAAAATGTGAAATATGCACTCCTTAATGGCACAGGTTAGCTACCATCTGTCTGCAGGTCAGCCAAAGCATTTGTTTAATTTTGCATTGTTATTGAAATACTAAGGTCAGCTACAACCTTGCACCTTTTCTTTCTGGGGGTCAATCCATCACATAACTGCAAAATAATACCTAATTAACATTTTATTCTATATGATTCTAAATGGCCTAAAAACATGCATGAATTCTCCCAAAATGGAACGTGGAGGGAGTGTTTAATGGATATGTCATTAGTTCAGCTTCAGAAGACATTTGCTATGATTTTTCTTTGTCCTCATATTAAATTTGTGATCTTGTCACAGGGTGGAAATGCTAATTTGATGTTCATGATGAAAAGGGATAAGGAGGTAAGAATTGATTCCATTGTTTGGCTGTTCCCTTCATTTAAGTGGCTAGAGAATTTGTCTCAATAGGTGATAATGTAGAAGAAAACACATTTAATTTGCTGAAGCATATCTAGACTTTTAAATACATTAAGCTGAACCCACTGTGTCATTTATTTGTTTAACCTTGGATGTTTAGACGGAGAATTCACTGATTGTCATCTGCTTGCCAGCAAGATGATATGTGCTGATTATAAGCAGCAAGGGTTAATTACCACCAGGATGCACAGGGCTGTATTTATCGTGCATCTGCAGACAGAGAGAGTTTAATTTTATGTTGCAGGTGCAGTGAATTGGGGCAATTAGATTTCTATTCTCCCTTTGATACACATTCATAACTCCCAATTAGCATTAATGACAAAATGAGAAGCAGTTCTCTTAATACTGGCTATCACTCCACTACTGCAAATACTGAAGTGCTCTTTTTTCTTCTTGAAATTAATTATAGGATATGTGAAATTCAGAGAAATTTTTAGCTAGGCTAAATTTAGGGATAGAGCATAACTCCAAAGTAACTTGCTCTGTATTGGTGCATGAGGTGTTTGCATTTCTGTATTTCCAGAAAACCTCCAAGAACACACCTTCTGCATTTGTGTTGCCTGCTGTAGTGCAGCTTTTCTGCCTGGTGGCAGTGGGTCTTGTATGGGTCAGCTGGGGGAGAAGGGTACAAATAGTCCACATCTATTTAAAGATTGCTTTTTTTTCACCCCTTAAATTTTTTTTCCTGAAATTTTTAAGTGTACTTCTGGGCTTCATCTCAATTACTCAGCTTGTTCTTGAGCAAGCTGATGCTGTGCGAAATGGATTGCAGAGACAGCCCAGGACTTGCCATGAGCTCTGTGCCAGGAGGTGCCTCTGCAGATGTTCCTACCCCTGCTGCAGTGACAACTAGGGAAGGGAGGAGGGTGATGCCAGGCACTTCTGGGAGATGTTCAAGGCATCTCTTGGCGTACTGGGAACTGATGCAGTCATTGCAAGGGAAGAGTGAGGAAAAGCAGGATGCAGAGGGATGGCTGTGCAGTTTGTCAGACCCACTGGTGGGACACAGGGCAAGACAAGGTGCTGTCCACGTACCCAGCACCCAGTGAGATCTAACAGCAACGCTTCTGTTTTCTCGCAGCAGGTCCTCCAAACCATTACCAGCCTCCATAAGCTGCTCACTGCTTTGCAGGTAGGCTTAGCCCTTCATCCTGCTCCCACACACTGCTTGCCTGACCTCCCAGTCGTGCTTTGCCCCTTGTCTCCCCCTGTGACACCCCATTGCTGGCTTGCAGGCTGTGGGAATGAGCTGCTGTCTAAGGGAACCAGTGCTGGCCTGAATTTGGGAAGCTGCTGGGGGAGCTGCTTTGCCAGCATGCTCTGGTAACCAGGCAGCACTGCTGGGCTGGGTTCAGAAGGAGTTCAGTACAGCACCCTGAGGATTTCAGAGATGGGCCTCTCCCCACGGAGAGGATGCTGCAGTGATCTGTCTCCTCTCTCCCAGGGCGTGGTGCTGCAGCAGGACACCTACATCGAGGACCAGAAGCTGGCTCTGAGCGAGAGGGCTGCGAGCCGAGGCTTCTTCCGGCCCGCCTCGCTGCTGGAGCAGGAGAAGCAGCGCAACCTGGAGAAGCAGCGCCAGGAGTTGGCCAACCTGAAGAAGCAGCAGACACAGCACCAGGAGGAGAGGCGGAGGAGGGAGAAGGAGTGGGAAGTGCGGGAGAAGGAGCTGGCAGAGCACGAGGCCGAGCTGGCGCAGCGCGAGGAGCAGGTGCAGAGGCTGAGGCAGGAGCTGGAGCGGGAGCGGGAGGAGCTGCAGGTGAAGAAGGCGGCCTACCAGCTCGACCTGGAGAGGCTCCGCACGGCGCAGAAGCAGCTGGAGAGGGAGAAGGTGCAGCTGAAGCAGGACGTGGAGAGATTTGCTCATATGCGGCAGGAGCCCGACCACAACCAGGTAAATGATGTCGACAGTCAGGCTCCTAGGGAAGCTGATCCCTACAGGGAGCTCGCAGCTGCCAGACATGTGGGCACTGCTATTTAAAACTGGCTCTTCCCTTGCATACGATGTGCAGTGCTGCAGTTTCTGTACCTCTGGAGCTGCAGAGGCACTGCCAGTATTGGTGCTTCATGGTGTATTGGGGCCAGAGAGCTCTGCCCACTTCCCTGTCTGTGTTGGGGGATGGCAGACAGGAGGTGGTAGACTTCCAGGGAAGATGCCCCAGGCAGTCCCAGGGGGTTGACACTGCCTGATGTTGGCCTTCACCCAAGGGCTGAGCTCTGGGGAGCAGTCAGGCAGAGGGGACATCCTTCACAGAAACAGCCTGAGTGTTGTGGGTAACCTGCAGCCTCCAGCTGTCACAAAAACCACTTGTGAGGCTGATTACTGCAGGACAAGTTCACATGCTGACATCCATCTCCAAAATCATTCTCAATATCCAGCAAAAAGATGGCATTGCCCCTGTCCTGAAAGACCAAATGCCTGCAGTTCAGCTGTGGCTCAGTCAGCAAAGGTCCCCAGCTCTTCTGGAAGAGGCTTCTTGTGTCTGATTGCTCACAACCACAAGAAAAACTCACACACACATCCTGGTTTGGGCATTTTTCAGCAAGCTAAGGTTTATTCCTTTACAACTTTGCAGCAGCCTGACTGAGGAGAGCCAGCACCACTGGCAAAACATGGACTGAATTTAATCCTTAAGCCTGTTGATCATTTGTTTGTTTGTAACTCACTAATTCTGACTGTAATTTGCTTGGAGCTGTAGCAGAGTTAGTTTATAAGTGTTGGATTGCAGAATGGGAATGATTTTCGATGCCTGAACAGCCTAATTGTGGAGCTGAGCAGTGAGCTCTCAAAAGCTCATCACCAAAGGAGGTTCTGCTCCTTCCCACCTGGCTCCTGATCAAGCCAGAAGTTTTCCAAGCAGCCAGTGAAGCTGTTCCAGCTCCAAGCACTTTCAGACAAGGGGCATGGGTGCTGTGGGAGAAGCTGAGAGATAAAATGCCTGCAAGGCCTAAGAGATTTAGGAGAAGGAAGCACCTTCTCAAAGCAGGTATCTGACTGACATTGCAGAGCTATTAATAGAGTGTTCAGTCAAGCTTTGTTGGGCTTGTTTTGATCTTCCCTTTGAATGTGCAAGCTCAATTACATCCTGAGACAGGCGTTAGGAAAAAAAAAATCAGGAAAAATGTTTTTGCTTTCATCTCTTGCTTGGGAAGGCTTCCTTTGACACATGGTGCTCCTGTGCCTTGTGCTGGCGTTCCCTTCCCAGAGAGGCAGGCTGCTCCTTGGCCTGCTGCCACCATCTGTGTCTACAAACGATGCAGGGTGAGTCTTGCTATTGAGATCTTAGAGAATATTTGCCCCTGGCTTGTTGATACATAGCAGAGTACATGTAGGAGCAAAAGATAGTGGAGTGTTACTCTTTTTGTGCCTCATATTTTCATCTTGAACAGAGAGGGCTTTTCTCTCTTTACTTTGCCTGGATGGGGGTGACATTTTACGTGATGAATGGGGTGGATGTTCACAAGAACAACCCCTGTGAGTGGTCTGGGACATGCCTTTTCTGTCCATGTTCTCTGCTAGCCTCTTTCATGAAACACTTTTCCTTTCTAGGTTTCAAATCTACATGAGAAACTTGCAAGAGTCTCCTCCCAGTCCAGCACTGATGAATCCTCCATGCAGAAGAACCCTTCCCTTCCTAAACAAGGGCACTTTGATGCAGAACTGTCTGTCTCCCCCAAAAGGAACAGTCTTTCAAGGACACACAAAGAGAAAAGCACTTTCCATTTGCTTAGCACAACAAACCAGACTAACAAGGCAGCTGAGGAACAGACCCAGATGCCTACTCGCCTCTTCAGTTTAGCCAAACCAAAGGAGAAGAAGGAAAAGAAGAAAAAGGGCAGGGGACATCGCTCCCAGCAGTCTGGTGAGTGTCAGGAGAGCTCATAGGTGTTTTTTCAGGGTTGGTAAGCTGGCTGTTTTCCTTCAGCCAGCAAACTTGTGGAAGCCACAAAATCTGGCTTGAAATGAGGATGGTGACACAGGGATGGGGAAGAGCAGCTGTGCAGAGTGGACTTGGCAGCTTGAAGTGATCTTCTGTGGGTGTTTCTGCCTGTTCTGCAGCCCCTGGGGTTGTCAGAGGGACACACATTCTTCTTATTGTTTCTTCCCTTCCCATCCCATCCTGAGCAGCCTCCATGGGCTGGATTCTGTGCTTCAAGGAGGAAAATACTCTGCTTCAGTGTCAGTGCTTTCAGAAGGAGCTGCTGCTGGGATGCTCCTGGCTCTTGCCGCTCCTGAAGCACTGATGTCTGCTTTAGCTCTGTGGCAGTTTGGAAGTGATACCCACAAGCCTTCTGTTGGCCTCTCCCCTCAAGCTGGTCTGTTTTGTCTCTTGATCTGAAACAAAAACATACAGGGTTTTTTTTTTTTGGTCTGGTAGTTTTGCATCCCCTTAGGACTCAGAGCTGCACCTCAAACCTCTGACCCACATGAAATTTGATCACATGCTCTCGGATGGCCAGTTCCATTCATGCTAGCTCACTGATGTTTTCCAGCTTGTGCACAGGAAATCTCACCCATTACAAGGTGTAATTTCATGGTAGCTCATCAGGGAACTGAACATCTTTTAAGGGGCCTGGTGGATTTGGCAGTCAGTGGGGTTTCTGTGCACACGGAGTCCCGCTCTGCCTGCTGTGTCCCTGTGTTCCCATAGTGATTCCCACATGATGTTTTTTGGTGCTACAGATTCTCACTCGTCAGAAGCACCTCCAGAGGGTGAGGAGATCTTCTGCTGAGCATGGACTGTTCCAGTGGTCACTCGTGGCATTGGCACCATGGACATCTCCCTGCCTGTGACACAGCACACGGCTGGTGCCTGCGCTGGACGAGCATCTGGAGGTTTTAAATAAAAAAAGTTCTGAAGTCTGCTAAGTGGTGGATAAAGGCCTCTCTCCTGTGGTTTTAGGTGAATTCTCCCTGCAGAGGCTGTGCCTGCACGGCACACAGAACCATCTCCCTGTGCAAACCTGGGGTCAAATGGATTGGGATAGATGTTGTCTGTCTCTTCTTACTGCTAAAGGATGAAAGAACATAGCCTTAAGGGGTCTGTGCCTTCAAATTCCCATTTCCTGGGGAAAAGAACCAAAACCAAGCATTTAGCAAAAGATTAGGACTCTACAAATGGCGCGTACACACTGGCATATATGCATATACTGTATATGTACATATATGTATCTATGTATCCACTGGGATATGCTTACAGTCCCTACAGCCAAGGTCCACCCGTGGGGATAGATGATACCTGAGGACTTTCAGGGAGTGTGTAGATATTAAATATCTTGCCCTTACTGCTCCGACTGTAACACAGTGACCTGCACACCCCTTCTGTGCTCATGGCATAGGGGCTGTTTGGTTTCAGAAGGGTACATTACACCAGGAAGCAGTAACAGCATTCAGAAGCAGCAACTCAGAGGATAAAAATTAAAATTTAAAATAATTCTGAACGATTTCTGTGGGGCAGAGGAATCAAATGTCAAACTGTTTTTAGAGTCAAGCAGAACATTATTGGGTATATTTAAAATGGTGCAGAAAAGAGAATTTTGGTAGGCTGGTAAGGCAATCCCAAGGAGCCAGAACAGACTGTTCAAATGGCAACAACAGTAAGTAACAATTTTTTTACACAAACTCTTTGAGCTCCAGCTCACTCCCTCCCATTCCCGAAGTAAAGATTATGTTTTTGCCAGAATAGAGTTCTCCAGTTGCATTTGACATCCCTGTACAAGCCTAATGACTGAGTGGGGGGGGTGGCTAAAAATCTGCTTTTAGGGATCTTTGTTCTGTTCTTTGTGTTTTTCTTAGCCTGCTTTTTGTGCTGCTGTTGGGTTTCTGTTTCTCTGATTTTCTCACTTGCCCTGCTGGTTTCTGAGGCACAGTGAGAGCAGCAGTGTCCAGGCAGGTCAATGAGATGGGGCAAGCTCCAAGGAGATGGCTCCTGTCCCTATGGCTGTGCAATACCAGGCACTTAGGAACCATGTGTGGGGAGGAAAAGGCTCTGATGGACAAACCCCCTGTGGGACAGGTCTGGAGGGCAGCGTGGCGTGTCCCCATGGCTCTGGGGTGGAGTGTCTGTGCAGAACAGGAAGGTCCAAGGGCAGCTCTTGCTGTGCCAGCTGTGGGGCGTCTGTACAGTTGTGGAATACAGGTGTGTGTTCAGTGGGGGAGGAGAAATGCAACAAGACATACTTTTCTCAAAAATCACCTTTCTTCCAAACCCTGTCAAGAGAATTACCCAAGTGGATTTGTAAATGGTTACCAGCTTCAAAAGAGGTCAAGGTTTTGCTCAAAAGTTTGAAGCTGTCAGGTACATTTCCTTTCCTACCAGTTTTTTTTCTTTGAAATAACAAATAATTTCTCTTCGTGTACTATTGTTTTATTTTAGTTTGCTCTCAGGCTTGTCATGAGCTGGTGACCCGCAGCAATTTTCAGAGTTAGTGCTGATGAGTATCAGCAGCATTGATGCTGAGGTGGGTGCTTGGGCTGGGCTGTCTTGGTGCAGGAACCCTGCTTGTTTGGAAGCTCTCTACACTATTAAAACACAAAAGAAAAAGAGAAAAAAAGAAACAGAAAGGAAAAGGGTTGAGATTTATTTTTTGTTTTTTTAGATATTATTTGGTGCTTGTTCTTAATTGCAAGCAGGGCTTGCAAAAATATTTATCTTTCATTTTATCTGAAAGAGTTTTTTAAAAAAGTTTACTTGGTTTTATTTTTTTATTTCTTTTTACTTTTGCTTTTGTTTGGGGAATAGTTCGAGGGTTTTTTTTCCCTCTTTCCCCCTCTTTATTTTTTTGGTTTGTTTATTTGTTTTGTTTTCTTACCAAAAGATTGGTAAACCAAATGTTCTCATCTCCTTGTTTCCTACAAAGCATGGGGCTGGCCAGTGCTGCTTTCCAGCTCATTCCATGCCCAAAGTCACACAATTTCAGCTGAGAGCTTTCTTCAAGGCAGAGCATCTTCAGGCCAAAAAAACTCTGGGGAAAGACAAATGACTTCAGACAAGGCTCCTCCTGTCAGTTAGTTTTATTGTTTAAACATTTTGGTTAGGTTTTCTCATTCCCTTTGGAGGCAAAGGAAGAAGCAAAGCTTGGAGTGCCTTGCAGTGATGTGAGGGTCCAGTTGCTCTCCAGGACCCGAGGGGAGCTGAAGAAGGCACATGCTGGCGGTGTGGAGTTACCTTTTCCATAAGAAAACCACCAACTTCAGAAAGTACATTCTTCCCTGCTGTTTATACATCTGCAAACATGAATGAGCCAAGCTGAAATTTCTGGAAACCAAAGCAGCGTGTGGCTCATGTACTGTTGTGTGAGCAGAGATCAGGGCACTGGTACATCTGAGTTCCCTCACTCTGGAACAGCCTTCACCACTATGAACTTTTTATTTTATCCCACTGTCTTTGCCCCAGTCCCAGCACATGCTGTATTCACAACACAGCAAAGTCCCATGGCTCTGAGAAGGGCACCAAAAGGCAGGTGAGTGACCCAGGGCACAGGATTGACTCTGCCTGGCTTCACATCTCTCCTGACCCGTGCAAATCAAAAAGAGCATTCAGTGCCTGAAGTGCAAATACTATTGGCTAGGTGATCTCCCAAGGTCCCTGTGGTTCCTTGACAGAAACCACAGGTGTGAGTCAGAAATACACTGACCAGAAATCCAATGTACCAAGCAGTTTGTGTCTTAAATTCTGGTGGACAGACCTTTGTCCCTGGAGGATGTCTGTTACTGTATGATTCACTTTTTTGGAATGGAGCCTCTCCTCCCACACTGCTTCCTCCTTCTTTCACCTTTAGGAAGGTGAGGGCTTGTTTTTATCTCTTTAGCCTTTTATTTTTCCCATCACAGGTTTTCTTTGGAAAGGCTTGGCATAGGTTCCCAGAGTCTGAGTCCTGCTCTGATCCCTGAAGGTTGTCTAGCATTGTCTGCTAGAGTATTGTCCCAGCTTGACAGCACCAAAACCTTTCCTCTTCCTGGCCTTAAAATTGCATCTGCTCCTGTTCCATGCCTGGCATCCATCCTGCAGTTGTTGAAAGCATTTTATTTCTTCATCCCAGCCTGCTGCTAGGAGCAGAGCCAGTCCATGTGTAATTCCCAGAGCCAGTCCCTCAATCCCATTTGGAGCACCCAAACCACTCTGTTTTGCATGGGACTCAGAGTAGGTTCAAAAACATCTGTTTGAAGCCTGTGTTGCTGGAGGAGAAGAGGATCCTGCAAGGGCTCTTGGAGCTGTTTGTGCTGGTGTTTCTTGGAGGGCAGAAATCAGATTTAATTTTCTTGGGCTTTTCTTGGCCTGGTCTTTGCCACTGCCCAACAGGAGGGGTTTCAGTGTCCAGGGAAAGTAAGAGTGTGGGCTCAGACAGGTACAGAAGTGGCCAGTATTAGATGGGGGTGCCAAGATACCCAGCAGCAGAGAGTAGCTGTAGCAAAGGGTGGGAGACTCGATGGGGCTGTGTGGGCTTGGCCTTAGATTCTTTTAAATCAAGTTATCATCTCAACACATAATTTGATGTCAGTTTGATGCCATAAAGCACTTTAAATGGAACTGGTCTTGCCCCTTTTAATTATGGTTTTTTGGAGACAATCAGTTTTGCTGTTGCTTCCCCCTCTGTACCCCCAGTAAAATCAGAGCTTCAAGTAGGCGTGTTCCTGGTTTGGTTTGGCTTTTCCCCGTGAGGGGAGGAAGGGCCAAGCTTTTTGTATTATTTTTAGACTAAAGTGGGTGTGAATCTGTCTAATCTACAGTCCCACTGCAGATAGCTTAAGTGGCAGAACAAGAGAACTGGCTTCTGTTGGCTCAGGTACATCCCCCAGGAGAGCCCATGTCAGCTTCACCATCACCTTCCTCGTGGCAGGTAGGGAAGCAGCCCCCCCAGTGGATTTCCCTTCATTTCCTTTTCTTTGGAGAAACTCAGGGTGAAGGAGATGTGAGGGGATGCATCCAAATACGTGAGGCCCTTTCCATGCACCAAGGTGTTTACTGTCCAGGCCACTGTTCACCTCCCAGTGCCTCCCCAGGACAGGAGCTGTCATCCCCACTGAGAGTGGACTCTTTCCCCTGGAGGTGTGGCAGCACAGTAATGCCATCAGCTTGTGTGGATTTGCATCCAGAGAGTCCAATCACCTTTGCACCTTCCTTGAGTCACTAGGAGACATCACAGCTGTTGCTGAAACACCCAATTCCAGTCCTTCCACATGCCACCTGGTCAGGAGAGGTTCTTCAGGTGCCAAATCCCAAGGAAGCTGTCTAGGATGTCTTTGGCATGGAGCAAGGGAGGACTGGGCAGGAGACACAGGAGAGTATCTGCTAAAATCCCACAAAACATTCCTTGTTAACTAGAACCCTGGAAATTATTGTGCCTGCTGGCCAGGTTTGGGAATTTATCATGATTTAGGGCACCCTTCCAAATAAAAAACCTCCCCTACTGCTCATAACTCTTGCTTCATTTGTCAGAAGGGGCAGCAATCCACAATTCATTAGTGATACAGCTAATTTTTAAATATAGGCGAGCTGAACTGGCCAAATCTCCTACATCTTGTGCTCTTCAGTCATGAGAAGTGTAACACCAGCTCCTTTCACACCTGCATTTCCAGGGCTCTGTGCCCTTTCTTTCCACGTGCATTTCACTGACACTGATGCTTTGCCCAAATATAGTTCAGCTTCCATTGCTGGGGGGGAGGGGGGAACAGGATAACACTCACTGCTTTGCATACAGCTGTGAGCTTTGTATGTATTTGAGCTGTTTATAGGTATCCATCCTTTCCGTGCTCTAAAGTAATGCTACTATTTTCTTTATCAATATTAAACACTGAAAAAAAATTGAAATAAAAATCTGTGTCCGGTTCAGTTCGCCTATGGTTAAAGTTTAGCCTGGTGTTTATTTTGTACTAATATGGAATGCACTTGAGTAATTCCCAGAACATTGAGGTGTATTATAATAACCTGATATACCTCTGGTTTTGATTTGTTTCTTATTAAAAAAAAATAAAAAATAAAAAAAAAAAAAATAAAGCTTTGCATTTTCATGTTGAACCCGTAAAGAAAAAAAGCTGGGAAAAAAAAGATTTTTAAAGAAGAGGGTCAAACCTAATTGCTGTATGTTAATTTGTAATTATGTAAAAAGTGAGCAGGTTATTGACTGTAAAATTCTTCAGTTTTTCTGTAACTTGCCAGAATCCATTAGGGTTTGTAACAAGCTTTTATTTATCTTCCTTTTTAGTTATCAGTATCAACCTCTTGTAAAGTCAATCTTCCTCTAAATAAATTTGATTTTAAGTCTGCGTTTTCTGCCTGATTTATTCCCACACCTCTGGTATTTTTGCCGATGACTTTTTTGCACCAAGGCTGCATGAAGAGCCCTAACCTCAACCTGTAATCAAATGTTTGCATTGCCTTTATCCTCCCCATTCCAGTTTGAACCCACTGGACTCTTTAATTTATTTTCCTCCTCTTACAAGATTTGTATTTTATTGAAGGACAGATGGCTGTGTGATATTCCTTAGGTTTTCCTCCCCCCACACACAGGGCTTCTCATCCTTATACAAGAAGGGGAAGTGGCACAGAGTTCCTGTAAGCCCCTAACACAGCTCAGTGTCTTTGACAAATCCTAGACACAGAGGGTTTTGGTTCTTTTGGCTTAGAGAACCAGAGATGCTGCATCTCATCACAGGACAGGGTCCAGGATGCCGTGTGGCTTAGGTGTTCCCTCGTCTCCTGCAAGAAGAGACCTATCAGAAATGCTGTACCCAGCATCCAGGACTTCCCTGGGGAAGTGAGAAGTCTTCCTTGTGAGGGTGGTGAGGCCCTGGAACAGGTTGCCCAGAGAAGCTGTGGATGCCCTATCCCTGGAAGTGTTCAAGGCCAGGTCAGACATGGCTTGGAGCAACCTGGTCTAATGGAAAATTCCTCGCCTGTGGCAGGGGTGCTGGAAAAAGGATCTTTAAGTTCCCTTCCAACCCAAACTATTCTGTGATTCCATGATAAGGTACATGGTATTCCCAGTGCCTGCAGGCGTCAGTCCAGGCAGGAGAGGGTGCCAGAAGTACAGAGCCATGACGATGAGAAGTCGTGGAGGACCTCAGTGGCTGGGGTTGCCCCACAACACATTTTCTGCTGGATCATAGAAGTGATCACTGCTGGCCCTGTCCTGCCCGTCCTGCACAGGACTTCAGCATCCTCTCCCTAGGCAGGAGAAGCAGGAGACCTGCACCCTTCACCCCTGTGTATTGGTTTTGAGGCAGAGGAATTGCTTCATTTCCATTTGTTACTCCACTTGTCTTCCGAGGTGCAATTGGGAAGGAGAAAGGATTGCTTGAGGAGAATCAGAACTGTATTCATAGACTCAGAATAACCTGAGTTGGAAGGGACCCGCAAAGAGCATCGAGTCCAGCTCCTGACCCAGCACAAGACAGCCCCAAGTATCAAGTATTGATCAAAGCTCTGGGCTGTCAGCTGCCTGGGGTGTTGTGTTGTTGCTCAGCAGGCGTCAGGGAGCTCCAGCCCCCGTTAGGCAGCGGTGCACTCCCTGCCTGGTATTTTTCCCCTCCTCTCATTGCACATGCTGTTCTGAAAGCCTGAGTCAGGTCAGTGTACCTGAACCTACACCCTGTCACGCAGCACTTGCTCCAAGACAGGCAACCCCTGGGTGTGAGACAGGAGATGAAAGAGTTCCTTTATCTCCACGGCTGCTCAGTAGTCCTGGTTTTATTTGCATTCCCAGGCGTCCCAGCTCACCTATTTACTGAAGTTGAATAAAAGCCTTCGCCCAAACTGTCGGCTGCTGGGTATGGTTTTTAAAAAGCACATTTTCCTGTGGCCCCTCTTGGCGCTGCAGCCTGGATGCCTGACAAAAGCACCCCTTGGGGCACCCCCAGCCTTTGTATTGCTGCAGAAAAACAACAGCTGCTGGGAATGGGAGATGCTGCTCTGATAGAACAGGCATTGGTCACGGGAGATGGGAGAGCACATTTACTGATCACAAACCACATGGAGAAAATCAAATCCTTTCTGAATCAATCTCCTGCCAGGGAAAAGCTGTGTTGCAGAGCAAAGCAGGCACCCTGAGCTTCTCTGGTCCTGCACAGTGCACTCCAAACCTCCCTGTTTCCATTGGCCAGGGGGAAGTCTGGGCAGGCAATACAAATTGCCTTAGGCAGAGGAGGAAGCAAAGGGCCCTGCTGCTCCAGGACACCTTCATATATTAATTTGACTGTCCTTAACCAGCTTTCCATAATTTCATATGCTCAAAATTTCCATGCTCTGAGCCATTACAGCTAAGACAATGAAATGGATATTCTCTCCAGACCACAGGGATCAATCAATTTAGATGGTCCCAAAAAAGAGTGGTGGGTTTCTGAGCATCCCAGCTTTCTTGCTCAGCCTTTCCTTGGCATCCAAAGTTAGAGCAAAATATCTTTGTGGCTTTGTTGGATGTGGTTGGATTTTCACTGGCACACTGACCTAAAAGGGGTCATACAGAATCCTTAGAATGGGATGAGCCTCTAAAAGGAGCATTGACAGGCACAGGAGAGGCTCTTTGGAAATATGGTTTAGTGATACCTTAAATATTTGCATTATCTGCATTTCCCATTCCCTGCCCTTGCTGGGTTCAGTCCTGGCACTGCCTTCAGGGAGAGAAACTGGAGGTCTGGGAGGACACAGGTGCAAGCTGGGCTGGGGCTTGCAGACAGGCCACTCATTCATGGAGGGTTTATTAAGAGAAGGAAAGGCAAAACCCTAATTAGTGCAGTGAGTGAGTGAGATGCCTTGTGATCAGATACAAGGTGAATGGTAAAGTAATGACTTACCTTTGCCATTGAAGGCACCTGGGGCTTGTTAATTTGCTACAGGAATGTTAAATACGGTAAATGTCTTGATTTTTAGGAGGTTGAACCATGTAAAAATTAAGCAGCAAATGATATTTGACACTAGCAACTGATATGAGAACCCCCAGCTCTCTCAGGGATGGGCAGACAGTGGGTATCTTTTGTGTCTCCCCTAAAGCTGCCTTCACACCTCTTAAATCACCCCCAAACCAGGCTTTGCTCTCCTGCCTCTGTTCCAAGGATGCCCAAGGGTGCAGGTTCAGGATGGGCTCCCCAGCCCCATTCTCCTGCACTCTGGAGCTCCTCTGTGTGCCAGTACAGAGTGCCCTTGTTTCCAGTCCCTTTATGGTCCATCCCTTTCCAATGCAGCTCAGCTGACAATTCCCAATCCCCCTGACCTCTCACCACATCCTGGAGTCTCTCCCTCCTGCATCTCCAGATGCTCTTTCTTTCCCCTCTCCTCTCACCAAAGGGCTGCTTCTCACCAGCCGCATCTTTCCAGTGAGCCTAATTAGACAGGAGCCTAATTGGAGCCGAGCAGGAGCGGTGAGTCATTAGCAAAAACCCTGTGGGAAGGCCGGGAGCAGCCGTGATCCCGGCGGGGCGGCAGCGTGGGCAGAGGGGCCGGAGGCAGCGGGAGCTCCGCTGGGTGCTGGGAAGCAGCCGTGGGGAAGCAGCTCCTGTTTGTGTGTGCGTGTGTAATTCCTCCAGACATGACCCAGAAATGGAGTGAAGGGTGTTTACCCTCCTCCCTGCACCTGCCAGGGAGCTGAGCCGGCCCCAGTGCTGCTGGGCTGGCCTCAGGGCAAGGGGATGGCCGTCTGTCCTACCCAACCGGGAAGGTAGAAACCAAAAGGGCTTTTCCTGGTGGCCCTTAGGCTTTTTTCTCCTTGTTTGGCTTCTACTCATCCCTTCTAACAACCAGCTATGCCCCACAATGGAGTGGAGCCAGCATCCTGGGGACTGGCTGCCTGCTGGGGCTGTAGGGAGAAGGAGTGGACAAGAGTGATGGCAGCAGTAAAGGGCAGAATTAAAATGTTTGCTTGGGATAAACTCACAGGACTGGGGATAGATATGATGCCAGGAGTGAGAGACAGGTCTTTCTATCAGTCATTAAATCACATTCTGGCTCTACGTGCTTCTTCACAAGCACATGGTGCCATCCCGGCCTGGTCATGGACTGCGGTCCCCAGCCTCTGCTGGGAAAGGAAAGCTTCCCAGAAGAGACAGAACTGAAAACCCACAAATTGCTTGATTCCTGAGCTCTGTAGTCCTCAGAGACTGTCAGGAAGAATGAAAGGACAAGTTGAGTAGCCAGGATCAGTCTTGAACCCTTCCCCCAAATTCATTTGGCGCGGGACACACAAACACAGAGGGGCCCTGTCTGTGAGCTGCAGCCCTCAGTGGTGCAGCGTGTGCTGGGGAGCGGGAAGTGAGATGTCCAGGCACTGACAGCATGAAAGCCAGGCTTTTTCCACCTAATTGGATCTGTTATTCAGCTGAGAAACACTGAATGGATTGGGTGGGCTCCGAGCTCGCAATTTCAGCGAGGAAGTCGGGACGTTGCGGCAAAGTAGGTCACAGTGCTGCAAAACAGGGTGATGGCTCTGCACAACAGCCCAGGATGTTAAATAAGGAGGTGGTGAAATGGAAAGAAAAGAGAGACTGTGAGGAGGGAAGAATAAATGAGCTCAGCCTTGGCTATTCATTCCCAGTGGGAGTGCCTGCTGCTGGCTCCCACCTTGGGGCCCCCAGCACCGCTGCCTGTGCTGGGAGGGCACCGGGATCCTGCTCTGCACTGGAGCAAGAGGGACTGGGCCCCGTTTAAACTCCCAGTTGTTGTGGGGAGCTGCAGGCAAGGGTTTCTCCTGCTCTTGCAAGCTGAACTCAAATGCTGCTTACGGATCAGAGTTTCCATGCATGGCATTTTGTGAGCCTGGACAGTCTTCAGAGATTAAAACCTGTTTGGTTTATCCCAAGGGAAAGGGTGCGTGGGGAAACTGGAAAACAATTCCACGTGGGATGTACTGCAAGGAGAATGTGCAGTGCTGGGGCATTGATTAATGTGCAGGAGAAGATGACAAGCCACGGACACGAGGAGTTAGTGCTCTGTGTGGACATGGATGAATTTGAAAACATGTTGGATACCTGGAAAAAAGTGCTCCTCTTCTCCAATTATGTGTTTAAATACCAGACTCAGCCTCTGGAAGGATGTGGGGCTCCCTCAGACACCAAAGCTATTAAATCACCAGCTACTCTGCTTTTAATTGACTCTCATGACAAAGGGAGTGGGCTCAGATGATAATTCCCTGCAGGGCTTCATTGCAAAGCAGTATTATTTCAAGGGCAGCTGGGGTCAGGCTGGGAAAATGCATATTTAAGACCCAATAAGGCACTATGAGTTTCATTTAAAGAAGACACAGGAGTATCAGCCTTTTGCATCCAGGGAC